ACAAATCTAGTAGATGCAATGGGTCTTAGTGAACACAATTTAGTTTTTTTCTTTTCTCTTCTAACAATTCCTAATAAAAAAATTAAAAATCAAACACATTAAAATAATTAAACATATTAATGATGATCCAAACAATTGTTTTAATAGATAGATAAAAGATTGGTAATCTAAAAGCATCATTTACACTTTAATTCTTTTATACTTTTCTTTAGCACCTTGAACTCTCAATCTATCAAGTTCGATCATTACTCTAACTTTCTCGCTCTTTCCTTTATGTCTTTATACAATTCAAGGACTCCAATTTTTAATCACACAGGATAATGAAGCCATTCAAATTAAGCAAAACAAAGATATCCATTTTCGTAAAGTTTCAAATTCTTATGTTTTGACTACATATATAACTAGGTTATTTCTTAAAATGCTGAAAAAAGTCGTTCGACTTGGATTCGAACTCGAATCAGATTAGACTAGTTTATGACGTTGTGTGATGAGCTATTGATTGCATTTTTTTCCCATCAAAGCTTTTTTCGTTATCATTATTCTTCTTATTTTAGCATTAAATTGCACTTATGGGCTAATTATGTCCTTGTTCTATTTATTTTATGAATTTAATTAGTTTTTAATTTATAGTTGGGCTTGAAGTAGCTTAAAGTCATTACACTAGATTCCATATTTAATGGGAAAAATATGTCGAGTAAGTTCATTGTCTTTTAAAACTAATTTTTTATTTTCATGTTAATTTATGGATACCTAAAGATAACTAATAATGATTTAGTTATGGGAAAAGATAATCTAAAATTTGTACGTGGATCTTTTTAAATAGGTGTGACAATTTTTGATCTATTGTTAATTTTTTTAATTATTCTAATAAGTTTTTATTTATTTTTTTACATGTTTAGGAGAGTGAGAAGTGAGATAACTAAATCGGTATTTTTAAGACTCATTACATTTGTAAAATTTCAATGCATGTACATTTAAAGGCAATATGTCTCCATTACTAATGGAGATTGATGAAAGGATTAATGATGTCAATGAATTTATACTACCGGGATTGGATTAAGAAGCATCATAAATGAAGGATGTTATTAAGACTAATCTATTAGTTTGGGAATCTTCGAGCTCGTCAATCTTACAATATTCTATATCGATCAAATTTTCTATCAAGTAACAAAAATGGAAAATCGGAAAATATCTTTTTTTATGAGATATTTTACATAAAACAATGCTCAATTAAAGTTAAGGTGATTGATTACGATTTCAATAATTATTAGCTTAGGTTATTTTTTATTTGAAAATATGTTGATAATAATAAAAATAACATGCCATCTAACTAATTGCTTATGTTTGACTTAATGATAAACCAAAAAACAAACTTGAGAATTGATAATCGAATTAGATTTATAACATTTAGCTTAAAAGGGATACATGATATTGTCTTGGCATAATGTTCTAAAAAATCACGAACTTTATACTTTTTAACAATTTCAGTTCTTTTTTTAGTTTTGGATAAAAAGGTCACGAACTAAATTTCTAATAACAATAGCAAGACATATTAAGTTTTTCGATTGAAATTTTAATCCAAACCGACATTGTATGTGATGAAGCATGATAGCTAGACTAAACATGACACCTAGGATCCGCATAAGTAGTTACTTGGAAAATTAATTATTAAACATGTCATCCCCTATATACTCCAATTACCATAAAATCTCTAATTCAAATTAACCCCGAGCCGTATGTCATCTTTTTTCGAGTCAATTTTGCACAAGACACCATCTTCCTTTTTCACTCTCGTAATCAAACTAATTTACGTACCACCATTTTCCTTTATCTCGAATTCTTTTACTCGAACAAACACATGACCGCCATCTTCTTTCTTCTACGTTGTCTTCTTTCTTCTTTCTTTTCTCATCTTTTTTAAATCCACGGATCCTTCAATCCCATTCTTTCCTTCGGTCACGAAGTAATTACTCTAGTTCAACAATTAAAAACCTAAAGCCCTTTTTGTCCCTAATCACCTAATTTCAAAATCCCAAACCTTTCTATGTCCTTAATCCCTTAAATTCAAAATTCAAACCCCGTGAGATGAACCTTCAAACAAATCCCCTAAAAACCCTAATCCCTCAAATTTAAAACGTTAAACCACTTTTTGATTATTCCAAAAGAAATCAAATATAAAACGAAGGAAGATGGTGTGATGTGCAAAATTGAAATAGAAAACAAATGACATACTAGTTAGGGTTAATTTGAATTGAGGATTTTATTGTAATTAGGGTATATAGGGGATGATATTTCTTTTAAGTTTGATAATCAATTTTCTAAGTCACCGTTTACGTGGATCCTACATGCATATTTAATCTAGTTGTCATGTTTCGTCTCACACCATATCGACTTTGATTGGAATCTCGATCGGAAAACTTGATATGTGCTAAGTATCGTTATCAAAAGTTAGTTTATGACATTTCTATTCAAAGTTAAAAAAACAAGCTAAGATCATTAAAAAGTGTAAAATTTATGATTTTCAGCCTATTATCATCTTTTAATTTACCTTTTTTGTTTTTGCTTTTTGTTGTTCCAAGCTAATATGGTGTTTACATGAAACTAAATATGGCTTTTCTAAAATATAAAATCTAACCCCACTCTACATCTATCGATAATAACTTATTTTACAAATGGACTACCATTATTGTGTCCTATGTTTATATTATAAATATTAGTTTTCAATATATTTTGTATTTTTAATGGTAATTTAATGAAATTTGATCGATGATTACAAAATGTTAATACATTCCCATATAATGCACAGACTAAAGGCTGGTTATAATGTATTGTTAGTTGTTTTGAATGTAAAACAAATGATAAGAACCACATATGTTAATAAAATAAATAAAAAAATGAATTTAAGTAAAGCCTATTATACAAGTTTTTGTATGCTATATTTTCATTATTGTTGTATCCTTATGTCAGTTAAAGGGACTAGTATTGTTAAATTCGGGTTAAATTTGATCGCCGACTCCACAACATATTATATTGATATGTTCAAAAAGTCACAACAATGAATTTTGTATCAAAGGAACAGTTTAGTCTACAATCTTTTAAAATTTAACAGTGAACTCCATAGGTTTTTCATTTAATTAATAGTTTCAATTTGATTGGATTGGTTGATTGTGAATGTGATCATTTTGTTTTAAGATCGTGGTTAATATTATAGTGATTTTGTTATATTATAGTCGGTTGATTAGTTGGTTTGTACAAGATGAGAAAGTTAAATAAGTTAAATTGATATATTTGATTTTATAAATATTGAATCACTGTTATTGGATTATTGAAGTATTTGTATTTTGATTTTGTTTAATAATTTTTTTTGTTTCGTGCAACATCACAAATCAGAAAATAATTTTGGCAGGGAACACATTGGCGGAGCGTTTCCTTATCCTAGTCATTCGCAAACAGTGGGACCACCTGCTCCGCCCTACAGCCGATGAGCAGGTACATCACCACGGGCTCTCTTTTGTAATAAAGGTACCGGAGGGCAGGAAAACCCCTCTAAGGGCATTTTCGTCGCTCAGCTCTCCCCCCTCCTTTTGCATTTTTTTCAACCCTTGAAATTGAAAGCAGCGGGTACTACTCCAAAAAATGGTCTCACGCTTCCGTCCGATTAATCGCCAGATGGGCTCATGCCATTGGCTCCACGCTCTCTCTCTTAAATACACAAAAAAAATGAGAGATTATTTTATATAAATATATGTACATTAACTATAAACACGTTTTTTCTCCAAAATAAATAAAAGCTCCAAAAACCCAAATCAACGTTTTAATTTCTGCCTCTCTCTCAACAAAAAAAACACAAGAAACAAATCTTTTATTTTCTCTCTAGAAAAAAACGAATACATTGTGGTGCGTCTCTCTCTCTCTTTCTTTTTTTCTCACGGACACCCATCGACGATTAATCCTAAAATCGACTCGTCGTCTTCCTCCCAAACGGGACCGTTCTTAATCTCACCCTCCGCGCATCTTAACAACAACCGCCGCCTATACTCAAAATTCTATACCCGTTAACATTTAAACCGAAACATATATAAACGGTACCGTTTTCCTTTCTTTTTTCAAATTCATTACCCGCCGGCGATTCGGTTCCCGGCGATTTGTAAGGTGCGCCCGATATTAACCTGCGCACTTTCTCCTTTTTTTAATATATCTTGACCTAGTTAGCTAGATAAATGAGTCTGGTTATTCATTTATTGAAGGTTAGCATCTTTTTTAATAATCGGCTTCGATTTTTGGCACGATTTTCTTATTTCGATGTTTACTCTCGCGAAATAAACACTTCCGATTTCGAATTTAGGGTTTCTTGATCTTTTAGGGTTTCTAAATTGGAGTTTTAACTGTCTAGTCATTTGATTTCGCGGCTTCACTCATGGATCTATAGCTGGCCTTGTTTGATTTGTTTTTATCTTCTGTTTTGTTTTTTAGTGGTATGAGTGATTGTTTCGCTTCGGTTTCTGCTTGTTTTGAGTGAATTGAGCCTGTTTTGATCCTTCTTTCATTTCTAGTATCATTTGAAATCTTGTAGGCGCTTGTTGCTGCTTTTCTTCAGTCTTTAGCGATTGTTTTTTTTTTTTTTTCCGGTGAAGTGGGGTTTGTTCGATCTTAGTTTATAGTTTTTGAATACCGTCCACTGCCAGTTTAAACTGTGATCAGAATCTTCTCCAGTCCTATTCAGTGAATGTGTTATGAAATGAATGAGGTTCCGTCAGCAAAGGGTTGATTATTCAGTTATCTGCTATCTGAAAAGAACCCGATAATCTTCACTTGATAAAGTGATCTCTTCTTTTTCAAATTTGGGTTTTCTTTTTTACTAACTAACAACAGTGAAGAATATGGGGTTAAAGTTGAACTCTTACAAAAAATATTTTCTTCTTGTAGTGTTTTTTTCTTGGAGACGCCTTTGTGAAGCGCAATTTTAGTTTTATTGTTCGTATGTTGATTTTAATTAATCAATGGTTTCTCTCGTTTCCAGGTCTTATGGGGAGATTGTAGGCGACAATATAACAAGTTACCTCTGCATTGTATTCACGGCAAGCATTTCAGATAGGGAAAGGCAGGAAATAATTACCTCTGAAATTCCATGTGAGAGGATGGCTTTTTTCAGGAACTATACTAACGAAACTGTTTCACAGAGTGTCCTAGAAGGAAAAAGGCAAGGCCAGAGTACAAGTAGCATGTTAGGCAATGAGGATATAGATGGGACTTCTAGTGAAAGAGAATTGGATATGAACATGGATGTGCAATATGGAAGTGAACCGGATGATGTGGGTAGGTTGCAGAGTGATGTAGCTGCTGATAATGATACCGGTGTGAGTAATTCAGAGTTGCAACCTTCTGGAAGGAGAAATGTGGCTGGAAAATGGGGCTCCAGTTTTTGGAAGGACTGTCAACCCATGGGTACTCTCGGGGCATCTGATTCTGGGCAAGATTCCAAGTCAGAGGATGGAAATGCAGAAGGGTCAGAAGATAATGTATCGAATGGAAAGGATGATGGATTAGAGTTGGAAGATGATGAGGGGCAAAAAGAAGTGGGTAAGGGGGGAAGGGCCACTCTGATGTCCCTGCAGATGAGATGTTGTCTGATGAATACTATGAGCAGGATGGGGAGGATCAAAGTGACTCGATGCATTATAGGGGGGTTAGGCAATCTGTTGATTTGAGTTCTAGGCTGCAATCAAAGCCTGTACCGATCAAGAATAATTTGTCCAGGAGGTCAAGAGGTTTGCACAATGGTGAAGGTTATGATGACGATGACAATAATCATGATGGCGATGCTGATTATGAGGAAGAAGACGAAGATGGTAACTTTTTGTTATTGTTGCATTTTCTTTTAATAGTATTTCCACTAAAACAAGTGATGAGATGCACGAATATTATCTAGTAGTTGGTAATTTCTTTTACTGTTTGATGTTCTAGCTGACATGTTTTTGATATTGCTTGCAGAAGATGATCCTGATGATGCAGACTTTGACCCTGATTATGGCATCACGAGTGGACACACAGGGGCCAAGGTTATTGTCTTTGCTTTTCATAGTCGTCATATGAAGTATGGTTAACTGCTTTTAAGCCCAATGTTTTGTGCCTTGACTTGTAAAAGCCCAATGTATCGTTCCTTGACTTTTATTATCTTTACATTCTTCTGTTAGTTTGTCGCCTTATTTATATAATGCGGCACACTTACATTTTTGTGCATGCTGCAAGGCATGGCAAGAAGAGGCTTTAGATTCAGATAATGACATTCACATCAATATTGCATATGCATCCCTTTTACCCTGATAAAGTGCTTTTTCATTAAAACCAGGATAAAGACTGGGAGGGTGAAGATTCAGACGAAGATGATAACAGTGATGATTTGGTTATCTCAGATGGTGATGATGATGATGATTTTTATTACACAAAAAAACATAAGGGTAGGCAGCAGGTTAAAGGTGGGCGTAATACAAAATCTGCCAGAGAGCACAAGTCATCACGTGCTTCTGGTCGTCAAAAGAGAGGGAAAACATCATTTGAAGGGGAAGAGTATTCGGCAGAGGATTCTGACAGTGACAGTGATGCAGATTTCAAGAACATGACCAAGAGAGGTGCTCATCTCCGTAAATCTAATGCTCGGTCCACTATGTCAACAAACATTGGTGGAAGAAACGATGAGGTTCGCACTTCTAGTAGGTCAGTTCGTAAAGTGTCATATGTTGAAAGTGATGAAAGTGAAGAAATTGATGAAGCGAAAAAGAAGAAGGCCCAAAAGGTGTGGTCTATCATGCTATAATTTACCAAGTATTGAAGTGCTTCATTTTTTTTACCTGGATGAAAAAATCTTATGATTTAGACATTTTGGTTAGAATTATCATCTTACAGACTAGGTATGTGTGTATGAGTTTTCTTGCTTGCTTCGATCCCTATATATATATATATATATAATTTTCTTGTTGTCTTTCTTTTCATCATGTTCTTAAAATTGAAGGTGCATGAGTTCTTGCAAGGTTTCCAGTTACTCCCTAGAATGTGAAAGTGAATTATTTTTAACTTAAAAAAAATCATGGCTCATTTTTTTTTTTAATTCATGTGTGTGTTTGTTTATTTGTTGTCACGCCAATCTTTTTTTCCGCCCTAGCTATTAAGTTGGGTTTGCTGTGTGTATGTGATTTTTTAAGCAGGACTAGCTCTAAAAATGATGTGTGCTGTCTATGGGACATTTGCACTTAGCTAGTAACTTTTCATTGTTTTGTCCAAAATCCTATCAATGAGGTCAAATTGGTCATTGTGGTATGGTTGGAGGATTCTAGATTGGTCTGTCAAAAATTATATTTTTTTGGGAAAGGTGAATGATGTGTGGGAATCATTTGAACCAGAAATCCTCTTCTAGTTCTTGTTTTTATGTACTTGTTTCTACTTTGGATATTATTCAATATTATTGTTCTTGTTTTGGCGATTGTGGGTGTGCTTTGGATTTCAATATTATAAATTTCACAGGCTTCAGTTTTTGGTATGCTATTATTACCTTTTCTTATGTTTGTCTTACATCTCCAATATAGGATGAAGTTGAAGAAGAAGATGGTGACTCCATTGAAAGGGTACTGTGGCATCAGCCAAGGGGCATGGCCGAAGATGCAATGATGAACAATAGATCAACAGAACCTGTTCTGTTAAGCCACCTGTTTGATTCTGCCCCTGATTGGAAAGAAATGGAGTTCTTGATAAAGTGGAAAGGGCAGTCACATCTGCACTGTCAATGGAAATCTTTCTCTGAATTACAAAATGTATGACTGCTATTATATCTGTTACCTATGCATGTAATTTAAGCTCTAATTGGTCAAACACATTTTTTTGTTTAAGTTTGATTTATTCTGCTTTGAAAATTCTTATTTATTTGTTCTTTGATCTCTTGTTTACATTGCCTGCTTTTATGTCACCAGCTAAGTGGTTTTAAGAAGGTACTGAACTACACTAAAAAAGTGATGGAAGATGTGAGGTACAGGAGATCATTTACACGCGAGGAGGTATACCTTTTGCTTCTACAATTTTAAAATAGTTCTTGAAGTTTTCTTTTTGTAATAATAGTAGAGGGGAGAATGAGAGATCCTAGGATGCACATGTTACACTTAAGAATTTACTTCTGTTGCTTAGTCTGAATGTGAGATACTGTAATTATGAGAAATGCACAAATGTTTTTTTTTTTCCTCTGACTATGAAATAGCATCGCTGTGTAGCTTCATATGCTGTTCTAGACCATTATTTCTAAGGTCTCAGACTGAATAGGTGATACAGTTGGCATTTAGTTGGCTTGTTTCCTTCAAGTTAGGTGATCATTTTGTCAAGATGGTTGAGCAAGTCCAACCATGATGATAATTGAGTGGCACTTATAGCTGGAAGAAATATGTTTTTTATCATTTCTTACATTATGAATATGCTGTTAGTTCTTATAAGATGAAAAAAATACTGAATTCTAATCAAAATATAGTGAAGGCTAAGTTAGATGCCGTTATTTTTTGTCTTTTAGCTTTTGAATTTGGAAAGAATTATGCTTTCCTTTTATTTTTGGGGTTTATTGTTTTTTGTATTGATTTGCTGCCACTGAGGGTGCATTTTATTTTTTTAAATTGGATTTTCTTGAATTTTTAATTTGTGGAAAACAGTATTTGCATTTAATTCATGGAACTGTTTCTTCCATTTTTATTCCTTTGATCTGATTAAATTTTGTGGTGTTACAAGTTTACTTCAATACAAAATAAATCTGCCAGACAAATTGGCTATTTGGGCTGGTTTAGTTATCCTCAAATTTTTGGTTTTCATCTATCAGATTGAGGTCAATGACGTGAGCAAGGAAATGGACTTGGATCTAATAAAGCAAAATAGTCAGGTTTGATTTTGCAGCATCGTTTTATTTTGGTCTTTGGCCAGTTTTTCTTTTTATCTTACACTATTCTACAAATCTGTGTCACTCTCCAATTCTTTTTAGTCGCTCATTATATGTTTTCCTAGGTGGAGAGAATTATTTCTGATCGAATCACTAAAGATAGCTCTGGTAATGTCGTGCCGGAGTATTTAGTCAAGTGGCAAGGACTATCTTATGCTGAAGCAACCTGGTATTCTAAACTATACTAATGTTATGATTTTTGAGTGGTATTTCTGAAACTCTTATGTACCTTTTGTTATGCATAATTGCATAATTACATCCTAGACGTGGTCATATTTCCTGGGGTATGGGAATCAACATCATATATGTGAAATTAGCCTGTAGATATCCACCGATGAAGTAGTGATGTAATCATAGATGTTTGTGAGAGTTTCTCTGATCTTAATAGTTAATGATGTGTTGTACAGGGAAAAGGATGTAGATATTGCTTTTGCACAAGATGCTATTGACGAGTACAAGGTCTGGCACAAACAATTTGTGTTTTTGGTCTGAATTTTTCTATGAGAATTGCAATTGACATGCATGAAGTAGCACTCTTTTGTAACTATTGTTTCTTTTGCAGGTGCGTGAGGCTGCAATTGCTGTACAGGGGAAAATGGTGGATCTACAGCGTAAGAAAGGAAAAGGTCTGTGAGTGTTGCCGTAACTCAGTTGAAAAGTTGGATATTTATGGCCTTTGAAATGGGTGGCATTGTAATTTAAAAATGTTAAGTTCTGCTGTTCTGAAGACTGAGGATTGTTTTCACTTTGCTGCTTGATGTTACCGTCCTACTAGCAAATTTTAGGGAGTTTTTGCTTTTTATTCAAATATAAAAACTTGTGTGTGCACTTCGTTTCTCTAATTTCTTTTCCTTTACCGTATTACTAGTGAAACCAGCTGTAGTCTTTACTGTTCCATATATTCCCTGCATGGTATTTAGTGTGATATGTTGCAAATATAGAATTTAAATGAGTGAGCATTTTGTTTTTTCTTTTTTCTTAGCAAGTTTAAGGAAGCTTGATGAACAGCCGGAATGGTTGAGAGGAGGAAAGCTTCGTGATTACCAGCTTGAGGGTTTGAATTTTCTAGTTAACAGGTATGGTTATCATTTGCTTGAAGGTGTTGACTAACTTAAAACATAATGTTATTGGACATTTCCTAATTAGTCTCTTACATTTCACAGTTGGAGAAATGACACAAATGTCATTTTAGCTGATGAGATGGGTCTTGGAAAAACAGTTCAGTCAGTTTCCATGCTTGGTTTTTTGCAGGTAAAACCTTTTGCTTTTCTTTTCTTGAACAATTGAGGAATTTGTTTACTTATTTCCTTTTTTATTCCAGTAGATTTTTTTTTTCTAATTCTACCACTGTAATTTCATCATATAAAAGTTTTAAAATAGTTTTAAACCTTGTCATTGGTCATGTTATGGAAATTTCGTATTTTTCCCTCTGCAGAATGCTCAGCAGATCTCCGGGCCGTTTCTTGTTGTTGTACCTTTATCAACTTTGTCTAATTGGGCTAAAGAATTTAGAAAGTGGCTTCCCAATATGAATGTTATTGTATATGTTGGTACTCGTGCTAGTCGAGAGGTTAGTCATATTTTCACGTCTTTGAGGTAAACGTATTTAATTTAATTCCTTGTCGGCATTCGATCTTTAATTGTTTTGTGCACTTCAAAATTAGATTGCTAGAACTTAAAATCATAAGATTTGTCTAAGTTATAGTTATATTATTACTATTACTATTATTATTTATCATGCGAGAATCTATCAATTATAAGTGCTAGGAAGGTTCAATGATTGCACAAAGTACTGGTTTTATTTTTGTCAGTGCTGATAAATGAAAAAAACATAATAATTTGACCATAGAGTTCCAGAAGTCACTAAAATTTTAAAATATAAAACATAGTTTCATTTCTTGGCTTCTTTTTGGTGTCAAGCAGCAGGTGCTTTTAGGGGCACTTCTCTAGGGAATAATCAAAGAGATTGGAATGCTTTATCATTTTGTTGCTTTTTGCTTTTTAGAGGGATGTCTTATTCTCCCGCTCTGTACTGCACAGTTTGTTTTTTCTAATGACACTTTTTATCCAAAAATAAAAAAACGGTTACTTATCAAGCATCCCCTGTTATTAAAGCTCAGGCGTCCAAAAACTCTTGATAGGGGAAGGGGTGGGAAAGCTCAAAAGCCCTGATCTAGTTGGCGTCAACTGTATAAGCATGCCACTAGCTTTTCTTATCCTTGAGAAGCTTTGAAGGCTGACCTTGCTCAGTGCAAAAGAAAAAGGGGGTGGGGGTTGATGTGTCTTAGTGAATAAAAACATTGTAATTGATGACGGCCTCCATGGCTTCATGACCCTGTCAATCAAACATTGTCTTTCCATATGAACTACAAAAATCATGTATCGGTTGCATTCTCGAGCACTAGTGAATGATGCCTTAATAGCAAACTAGTTTTTGCTTATCCATGAAACTCTCTCATACTGTGATGAGGTAGGGAGTTAGGATTTCTCTTTCCTTTGTTGCCTTCTGAGACAGGGTTTTTTGGCTGTACTGGTATGGTTAAAACTCTATATTAGTGTCTTAAAATAAGCCTGAGTCTTTAAACAAACGTGATGGTCGGGATAAAGACCCAGATAGAAAAGGATTTTGGTTTTTACTAGGCCAATATTTGTTATTTTTGTTTAACTCATCTTGGAAGGTGTTACTTTCAAATTGTAGGTTATTGTTTTTTTCTTTCTTTTATTATTGTTTCTTTTTGTTGTGTGTTTATTTATATTTTGTGCCTTGGTTTCAGGTTTGTCAGCAATACGAATTTTACAATGATAAGAGAGTTGGCCAGCCTATAAAATTCAGTACTCTGTTGACCACATATGAAGTTGTTCTGAAGGATAAGGCAGTGCTGTCCAAGGTCAAGTGGAATTATTTAATGGTTGATGAAGCTCACAGGTTAAAGAACAGTGAAGCGCAGTTGTACACAACACTTTTGGTATGGCATTTTCCAATTAATTTTGCTGTTCAGTATTTGTATGTATGCTGTGGTTGGTTCATTTGGTTTTTATTAGGATAATTCATTTTCTTTCCCTACAGGAATTTAGCACCAAGAACAAGTTGCTAATTACTGGCACTCCATTACAGAACAGTGTGGAAGAGCTATGGTATTTATTTATTTCCTCTTACTATCATTATTCTGGTATTCAAACTTCAGGAGTTATTTTATTTGCCAAATTTGCCCCCAGATATGATAACTTAAAGTCTAGGAAACTGTTTATAGCATAGACTGTCTTTTTTAATAAAATCTTTATTTTACTTCCTCTTGAGGTAAGAGCTGCTAGTGCATTCACATGTTCTATTCACTTGTTTTGGTATTTTCTTTCATTTAACATTTCATTTTGGCATATCATAAACATGCCTGAACTAAGAACCCTTTGTCTGGGGAGAAGTAATGATACTAATTATGATATTTTTTATGTTGTTGAAATCTGTTTTTGCTCATGTTTTGAAATTGGAGTTCTTTAGGAGGTGATTGATATGTTGGTTCTGCTGATTGTTTATAATGGCCTGCAGGCCAGCATTACACGAGAGCAATTTCGTTGCTTTGTTTTGTTCAAAGAAAGTTCATTGTCGATTTTTTTTTTCTTTTTCCTCTCTCAGTTGCTGCAGATCTCTCTTGTTTGCCTGGTTTAATTGATTTTTGTTTTTTCTTAAAATATGCCAGGGCTCTGCTTCATTTCCTGGATCCTGACAAGTTCAGGAGTAAGGATGATTTTGTTCACAATTATAAAAATCTTAGCTCATTTAATGAAAATGAGGTACAATACACTGTCATTTTTCCACAGTTGGCACACACACATTGTTTTTGACTTAGCTAATTTAAGTTTCTATGGCTTTTCTTTGTAGCTTGCTAATCTTCACATGGAATTGAGGCCTCACATTCTCAGAAGAGTTATCAAGGACGTGGAGAAATCCTTGCCTCCAAAAATAGAGCGCATTCTGAGGGTTGAAATGTCTCCCCTCCAGAAACAGTGAGTGACGTTTTCCATTTGTGATAAAGTGATTTTATTCTGGATTGTTTCTTGAAAGCTTTTGTAATTTGTGCGTTTTGCATGTGCTAGATACTATAAATGGATTTTGGAACGTAACTTCCATGACCTGAACAAAGGAGTTCGTGGGAATCAGGTTAGTATGTATCCATGATGAAATTATGAATATTATCTATTAGAAATTTAGGCTTGGAAGGTATCTTTACTGGTCTTGGTGACATCACTAGAATTACAAGTCAAACATTTTTTATGATGTTCTAGTTTTTGGGGGTGAAAAGTTGACAGAGGCATTGCTTTTATGGATTAGAACTGACGGAAGTTATGTCTTTTTTTATTGTGTTGAAAACTGATAATATTAGTTGTTTTGTGTTTTCAGGTTTCACTTCTGAATATTGTGGTAGAGTTGAAGAAATGCTGCAACCATCCCTTCCTATTTGAAAGTGCGGATCATGGTTATGGTGGGGACATCACTATCAATGATAGCAGCAAACTGGAGAGGATTATTTTAAGCAGTGGAAAGCTAGTTATACTCGACAAACTACTTGTCAAATTGCACGAGACAAAACATCGTGTCCTTATTTTTTCCCAGGTTTGTTTCAGAACCATTGTTGTTATGCTCCTTGGATATAATTGCTGAATGTAGATTATTTAGTATGCCTCGTAAGTGATAAATGATATTATGATCTCTTCCATTCTGGTTCAGCCTCCTAGTGAAATGTGGATAAGCTGATAAATGTCATGAGGGTAAACAATGGTTAGTGTCATGCATTTTCTTGGTAAATTTTGTCTATTTAGTTAAATTTGGATAAATTGGTAGAGGAGGGAACAGATATTGCATATGGACCTCAACCTTTGTATAGTGGATGTATGCAATTGCTTAGGCATTTTCCAAGTACCTGGGTGTTCTACTCGGGAACGTCTGATGCTTAACTTCCTTTGTGCATCTTCATTTCCACTTCTAAAATTCCATTATATCTCACAATTTAAAACAAGTACCAAGTACTTACCTCAACCGACACTTTGCTGAAGTTTTAGCAGCATGTTATGATGATAACTTGATGTGTGGTAGATGATTATTGTCAAATTGCTTTCAATTTTGTCTATTATCCTTCTGAGAAACTTAGTCTTGGATATATGGTCTAAATTAACTTAGTTTAGCTTAAAAGTATCACAAGCATATCAAATGACAAATGAATTGTGGCATTGGTCAACTGCTGCAGATGGTCAGAATGTTGGATATAATAGCTCAATACATGTCACTCAAAGGGTTCCAATTTCAAAGACTTGATGGTAGCACAAAGGCTGAATTGCGTCAGCAGGCAATGGACCATTTCAATGCACCTGGCAGTGATGATTTCTGCTTCCTTCTTTCAACTCGGGCTGGCGGCTTAGGCATCAATCTTGCAACTGCTGACACAGTTATAATATTTGATTCAGACTGGAATCCCCAAAATGATCTACAGGTTTTAAGCAGAACGAACAAACTTGTTTCATTCCATGTATTTTTTGGTCTCTCTCCTACATCATCCATCTTCGATTCAACCAATTGAATTATTTAGTTTAGAGGAAACACATGTTGCTTAGCTTATTTGTTTGATGATGTATCAGGCAATGAGTAGAGCTCATAGAATTGGGCAGCAAGATGTTGTTAACATCTATAGATTTGTGACAAGCAAAAGTGTTGAGGAAGATATCCTAGAGAGAGCCAAGAAAAAGATGGTAGTTTCTTGAAGTTGATGTCTATCAGTGCTTTTCGTTTCTTTCATCCTAACAGTCATGATCATTTGCATTATATACACATAATACTCACATTTAATATGTTAACATTCTGTGACGTTGTCTAATAGTATTTAACCCAAGTATTTTATGTCTTTTGTGTGACATGTGTTCTTTATAGGTTCTTGATCATTTGGTGATCCAAAAACTAAACGCAGAGGGTAGATTGGAAAAGAAAGAAGCAAAAAAAGGGGGTCATTTTGACAAAGTAAGAACGCAATCAAACCATAATTCATTTTTATCTTGGTGTTATTCTATATTTCTAAGCCTAAATATGGGTATTCAATTGTAGGCTGAATTCTCGTTTGTAAGGATTATATAGTATTCTAATATTCTGTTAGTTGCTGTATTATTGTCCCTTGGAACTATTGCATTTACAATCTTTTTTGCCTTTCTTGATTGCAGAATGAGCTCTCAGCAATTTTGAGATTTGGGGCTGAGGAACTTTTTAAAGAGGACAGAAATGATGAAGAAAGCAAGAAAAGACTCTTAAGCATGGATATTGATGAAATTCTTGAAAGAGCAGAGAAAGTTGAAGAGAAGGAAGCTGAAGGAGAGCAAGGGAACGAATTGTTAGGTGCTTTTAAGGCAAGTAAATAACTCATTAATTTTTAAGTTTGAATTCTGCCACTTATTTCTGTACTTTTTTTTTAATTATATCCAGGCTGCTGCTGCATCTACATTAGGTTAGTTTTTAATGGTGTCAAATCTTGAATGATTATGCTATTTGAAGATATTCAGGCCGCTGCTGCATTTACATTAGGGTAGTTTTTAATGGTGTAAAATCTTAAATGATTATGCTGTTTGATGATTTTATAAAATTGTCATGGGCTCTATTGTCGAAGTAATTTTGAATTAAAGTAATTTAAGTGTGTATTATTGGGACCCTTAAGTAGGTTTATGGGAAAAAGAAAATGATGGGCTATAAGTTCAAGGAAGAGAGAAAATGCAGAAAAAGACAAATCACCCCCCCCCCCCCCCTCTCTCCTTCCTAACAAGAGTAAAAGCAAGCGCCTACCAAATCATGTATGGAGACTCAGGGGTGTTGCGTGTGTGCGGTTGGCATAGGGATGCTTTGTCATTTGTCATATTTATTGATGCCTTCACAACCAAGTTTGTTGATTAATTTTATTCTTGGATTATATCCAGGTTGCAAATTTTTGTAGCGCCGAAGATGATGGGAGTTTCTGGAGTCGTTGGATTAAACCAGATGCTGTAGCTGAAGCTGAAGTATGTATCTCTTTTGTTGAATTTGATTTAAGATTTTTTAGATTTGACTTTTGACATGTTCTTTGAATATAACTAGTGAATTTCTTTTGTAATTATCATATTTTTATTCGAGTAATATCTGTTTTCTCCCTTTAGGATGCTTTAGCTCCTCGGGCTGCAAGAAATACTAAGAGTTATGCTGAGGATAATCAACCTGAGAGAAGTAACAAACGGAAAAAGAAAGGTTCTGAACCACCAGAACCACAGGAGAGAGTGCATAAGCGTCGCAAAGCTGATTTCTCTGCCCCCTTAGCACCAATGATTGAGGGAGCATCTGCCCAAGTGAGAGAATGGTCTCATGGAAATCTGCCTAAGAGAGATGCTTTACGTTTTTCTCGTGCGGTATGATGCTAATTTATCTTTGAATTTTTGAGATTGTTAAAAGTGAAAACAAATCCTTCTTTCTAGACAATCTAGAACTTTGTATATCTAGATCTTATCTCTTATTGGAAATGTTTAGTAAAAATCATTAGTTTTCAGATTCCTTGATAAATCCTTTTTCATTTTTTTTTCAATTAAATGCTGTTACTGCTTGCTTTGCTTTGTTAAAGCCTGAATTCTCTCTTCACTCTTATTTTTGTTTGAATTAGGTGATTAAGTTTGGGAACTTGAACCAAATAGACTTGATAGCTGAGGAGGTTGGTGGAACAGTGGCTGCAGCTCCACCTGAATCACAAAGGGAGCTTTTTATTCTTTGGTTGATGGTTGCAAAGAAGCAGTTGAAGTTGGAAATCTGGAGCCAAAGGTTTGTTATTCTGTCTATGCATGCTGTTCGTTTGTGCTGCATCTCCTCTGTTTGTGGTTGAATACCATAATAACCTTTTCTGATCCAACAATTTCAATTGGGATTTCCTTCAGGGCCCTTTGTTGGATTTTTTTGGTGTCCCTGTGAAGGCAAATGATCTATTGAGCCGTGTGCAAGAACTTCAGCTACTAGCAAAGCGGATTAGTCGTTATGAAAATCCCATTGCACAATTTCGAGTGTTGATGTACCTTAAGCCTTCAAACTGGTCGAAAGGATGTGGCTGGAATCAGAGTATGTTGTTCCCTATCTTATGTATTATTACCTTACAGGATAATGATGTACTTGTTTTCTCTATCTGATTGATTATGCCTTTTTCCTTAGTTGATGATGCAAGATTGCTTCTGGGAATACACTACCATGGATTTGGCAATTGGGAGAAGATACGGTTAGATGAAAGGCTTGGCCTTTCAAAGAAGATTGCTCCAGCAGAACTCCAGCACCACGAGACCTTTCTACCACGTGCTCCAAATTTGAAAGACCGTGCCAATGCACTTCTGGAGATGGTAAGCTATGACTTGGAAAGCAGGAAAAGCCAAAACTGGAGCTGGCTTCTTTATGCTTTCATCCATTCTCTTGCTGTCGCCTTTGCATAGTTTTGTCGCCATGATGCTTGTTTGCTATGTGTATGTTATTAAACTCCAGTTACCATTTAAACTTTTGCCATAGCACACTCAAGTATATTAATCTAGCTAGCTTCCTAGTTTAACAGCCTAAATTGGGCAAGCTCAAGTCTTATGCAGTGTCACCCTTGCAAAGGTTTGTTTCCCATTATACTTGTTTGCTATGTATATTGTTAAAGTCAAGGTTGCCATATAAACAATTGCTGCAGCAGACACGAGTATATTAATCTAGCAAGCTTCCCGGTTTGACGGACAAAATTTTTTGAGCTTTAGACTTGAAGTTTCATTATCCGTTGATTACAGTATGCTTGTATCAGATGGCAGTAATTCCATAAGTGCTTGCTCGTTTTTAATTGTTTCTTATGGTTCTGTTGTATATCTAATTTGGAAGAGCAGTGGATTTTATGTACTGATAATTTGCATTGAAGCGTGGTGGATTTTATGCGCTGATAACTTGCACTTTCCTTTTCAATCAGGAACTTGCAGCTATTGGTGGAAAGAATGCAAATGCTAAAGGGGGTCGGAAGGCTTCCAAGAAGGGGGAGAGAATCTTCCGAACATCTCTGTTTCTCGGGCCAGGGACAAGAAAGTAAAGCCTCCTGTGTCTGTAATGTTTAGTGTACAAACGAAAAAGAACAGGCCTCAGAGACCCCAGAGAGTTGAACAGTTAGTAAAAGAGGAGGGTGAGATGTCAGACAATGAGGAGTTATGTGAGCAGTTTAAGGAAGTTAAGTGGATGGAATGGTGCGAAGAAGTCATGGTTGATGAAATTAAAACTCTGAAACGCCTTAACAAGCTGCAGACTACCAGTGCTGACCTTCCGAAGGACAAAGTACAGCATCTTTTGTTCTGATAGTCCATTGTTCAGTGCCTTTTTTTTTTTTTTTTTTTAATGCTAGAAGTTTATGTTCAACCTTTGCTTGCAGGTGCTTTCGAAAATTCGGAACTATTTACAACTCATTGGACGGAAAATAGACCAGATTGTCTTAGAATACGAGGAAGAGCGTTATAAACAAGATAGTATGTGTTTTTCTGTCCTATATATTCCCTAGTTATTTTGCCTTTTTATTTACTTTTGGTGTTCTCTGCCCCTTATTTTCTTTTAAATCAATGTCTTCTCAGGGATGATGACACGATTATGGAATTATGTTTCTACTTTTTCAAATTTATCTGGTGAGAAACTTCGTCAGATTTATTCAAAACTTAAACAGGAGCAGGAAGAAGATGCGGGCATTGGACCCTCTCATGCCAATGGCACTGCATATTGTTCTGTTGACAAAGATGGTGATTCCAACAATTTTCCTCCCCTTTCTCGTAATTTTGAGAGGCAAAGAGGCTATAAAAATGCAGCTGCCTATCCAATGTCTCAACCAATAAACAGAGGTCATGATGCTGGGAAATTTGAAGCATGGAAACGACGTAGAAGAGCTGAAGCTGATATTCAACCCCAATTTCAACCCCCTTACAAAGACCAATGAGTAATGGTACCCGTTTATCTGATCCTAACTCATTGGGGATTCTTGGGGCAGGACCACCAGATAATAGGCCTTTTATTGACAGACCTCATCGAGTGCGTCAACCTGGTTTTCCTCCAAAACAAAATTTTACATCAGGTATAAAGTAGTCTTAGTGCTCAAGGGAAGGAGAGCAACTGATTAAAGGCATCAGCCCGTGGCTTTCCCCTGGTCCATCACGGCTTCAGTCATTGGCTATACTGTGGAATTCTTTTCAACATCACAGTAATAAGGTGCCAATTCCTATTTGGTTTCTTTCTGGCTGATCTGAAATATCCATTGGAAAGGAATTTGCATAATTGTACAAAAGGTGACTGGGGGAACGGCCAAAATCAATTAACATGAGCAAGATGTATGTGGTCTTGCTACAATTTTTGTTTGCTAGGAAATGAATTGGATAATTTGTTTTACGTATATAATGAAGAGTTAGGGAAAGAAATATTAGAATTTCATTCAATTTAAAATATACACAAATGAGCGGAACATCTTACATGTATTATGCCCTGTGAGAAGTGTACGTTATCAGTTTTGAATAATTTTAATTCCGTTCTACCTTCACAGTTTTGGTTTTTAATTATTCTGAACCGTACTGTTCTTTTAGACGCTAATAAAACTTGGCAATATGTCAACTGTTGTGTTCTGTTCTTGGCTTCTGGTCGGTTTAGCTTTGCCTCTGGAATCTGGATGTGGTATAATAGTTATCTGTTTTGACACTGATTCAGCTCTACTCGAAGTGATACAGTAGGTAGTGTCATGATGATGTCTAATTTATTATTATTATTATTTTAATTATTTGCTTTCATCTATTTGATGTGGTGAGTTATTTCTTTGTCAATGTGAAGTATTAAGATGTATGTGTGCCCTCACCTTTATAATGCAGAAAATTGAATCTGCTTCAGCTATGAATCAACGGTCAAACTGAAAGCTGCTGTGAATCACCTCTACACTTCTACCAAAGCTGTAAGCAAATATTTGTGGTGCTGTTGTCACCTCACCTTCCACATCTTCCTGGTGAAGTTCTGTATGAATTAACGATGCTATTCTGCAAATGCTAAATATATATATATATATGTTTTTTTTTATCAACTTGACTAGTTTTAACGGTGTGGAATTTGGAGTGTTTTTATATTAGAAACGTGGAATGTTGATAACTGCAATATTTCTTTGTGGTAGGCATATGATGATCTATAATCTGCTATGTAACGATTATGACTGGAAGTGCCCCACCCTTCCATAATCCATACCGTTGATTATACTTCTGCAAAGGGCTATAGATGTTCTAAGGTTTTTAGTTTTCTCATGTTCCTGTATATTAAACCCCTAGCCTGGGTCTATATATTCTCGTGAGTGTGTTGTGTGTCCATTTAATTGCTTGAGGAGTTTGTATGGGGCAATGAAATAGTCTCTCACTCATTTTCTTATGGCTTCTTATACTTTTCCCAAAGCTCCATGAATCTCCCATCAAAAGGAAGAAGTGATAATCTGATATCATTAAACATCTAGTCGTTTACTTGGCTGAAAGCAGATGGTTTGCTTCCTGCTAGTGCAGGCTGGTTTTGTTTTCATGTTAGCAGCGGTTTGAAATTAATCCCAAAAACTTGTTAAAAAAAGAGTTAATGTTTGGAGGACAGTAACAGTTACTAGGAGTAGTGCTAATCATGAAGGAGTATGAATTGCTGAATGTTTTTGTTATTTTTATTTTTTGGCGCTTTAAATTTGAAGTAACTTATTCCCACCTTTTGTGGATAGATATTTGTACAAGGCATGAGAGACCAAGATAACGCCACCAAGTTATATCGTTGATGATAGACGTCAAAAGGTGTAAGAAATCACAAAATAAATAAATAAATAAAATACAAAAAATGGTGAGCTCCACTATGTCCTACCCATCTCAAGAACTGTAGCAAAATAGGGGAGAGAGAAATTATGAAAAGGAAGTAGAGAGAAACAAGATTAAAAAGTGCTGTGTGGTCTTAATTCCCACGAGAGGGGTGTGGTTGATAGCCCTTTATCACATTATCTTTCGCATTGCTTTCTCAACCTCATACTACCTTCTTCCAAAAGCCCTGCATGTGGTGCCAAAATAAGGTTAAGTATTCTTCTTTTATTTTAGTTTCGGGGAAAAAGAAAAAGAAAAAAAAAAGAGTTGATAAACCATTGATTTTGTTTAGTCCCTGATGGCTTACAATTTGTTTTGTCTCCCACCAATTTAAGAAATATGTTTCCTTTATGCCCTTATCATAATAACACAGCAAAAACAACTGCTACTTAAAGAAGAAATTAAACAAGAAAATAGAGTAAATGACGAGAAGATGATGATTGAAATAATTCTTTTTTGAACATTTAATTCCAACAATTTCACTTCGCATGAGCAAATACTTTGAAAGGTAGAAGTGAAAGATGGCAAACGACAGGGACAAAGATGCAAGTAAGAGGAAAACAAAAAACTCTACACAGAAAATATTAGGTGTTGGCGGAAATCCAATGCACGCCAAAGAAATGCGGGCCATGCCAGTCATTCTTAGCCGCAGGACACCAATAGGTTCACTCTTATCTGCCACGTAACTGGGAGGAGGACCCCACATGGGACACTGATTGGCTCTCCCGCCCTCTTATTAAACCGAATTCTCCTCCTGGGCTCTTTACTACAGGCACTCAACCCCTCAACACTCTGCCCAAAAAAGAGAAGAGGCAGAGACACACTTCTCTGCTACTTTTTGATCAAAAGTCACCACAGTCAGGTAATTCCTGATATTGATGTATTGCTCTCTGTTTAAAGAAATTTTTATTACATGTATTCATGGATGCTGAAAAACTATATGAAGAGTCGGTTTGCTTAAAGATTGATTTTTTTTTTTAAAAAAAAAAAAGAAAATCAGCAACCGATAGAATGCATATCATTTTATATTAGGCTGATGTCCCAAGGCCGAGTGGTTTAAACTTCAAAAAATTCTACTTGGGAGTATTAGTGTCCAAATGTTTTTGGAAGAACCTTAAGTTTGTTTATATGTTGAAAGAAAAAGGAAAGAAATTCTAAATCCTGCAAGAGTCAGAGTGAAAGGCAAGAAACCTGAAAGAGTCTGTTTTTCCTTCATGGTAGCTTGCTTTATCTCTTTTGCTTCTAACGTTTTCTAGTCTCAAAAATTTTTATTTGCTTCTTACAAACTAATACATTTAACTAGCTAGCTCCTTGTTTTCGACGATGAATGTTTGTTTTGCTGCTAATGCTATCATTTGACTAGATTATATACCTGCTCAAACTAGTTCTAATCAGATTTTTATGGCTAAGTGTATCAGCAAAACGCTTTTGAGATAAAGAAAAATCAAATTTGTGTTTTAGGTGTATTGTTAGATACTGTTTCTATCACCAAGCCAAAAGCATAAAAAAAGCAACCCCAAAATTATTTGGTTCTCTTTCATTGAGCAGTACAAATTTTCGTACGTTCCAGCATAGACTAAATTTGCTCTAATTGTATGTAGTTGGTTATGCTTATTTTGAATCCAACAGTACTGCATGAATTTTATAAATGAAGCAGCACAAAATGAAAATTCAGCTTGATTTCTTAACTTTTAATTTATTTGACACTAAAATGCAAAGAAAGTGCAGTTGAACAAATAGTTTTTTCCTAATTTACAAATCCAGTTTAGTGCATAAATATATATGAGTTGTTTGATGAGGGAACGAACCTTGGTTTCTTTATTTTAAATTTCTAACCAAGTTGTTTTGACATAGTGACCCATCCAGAGTTTGTTGAAATAATTTGTTGGTGATGTTCTTAATTAGGGGCAAAGATGGACTACGTTTATGGACCAGGAAGGAATCATCTATTTGTTCCAGGACCGGTTAATATTCCGGAACCAGTCCTTCGGGCAATGAATAGGAACAATGAGGATTACCGTTCTCCTGCAGTTCCAGCCTTGACAAAAACTCTTCTTGAGGATGTGAAGAAGATTTTCAAGACTACCTCAGGAACACCTTTTCTCATCCCAACAACAGGTACTGTTGTAGCAGTCATCTGACGAAGTCTTAAATTCTAAAATGATTATCATTCCTCTGCTGAACAAATCCAAATACATAGAAATGCTTCAAATTTCTTGGATTCTTGTTGTCGTAGATTACATGATCACAGTTAAAAATTTTGAAAGTTTTTCCTAACTTCTGCCATCTAATTGAAGGAATGAAATAATGGGCACTTATTTATTTGTATTTGAGGTAATCTTAGTTTGTGTTAGTTGATCACTGCTATTTGTTTCAGGCACTGGTGCATGGGAGAGTGCACTTACCAACACGTTGTCTCCTGGAGATCGGACTGTATCTTTCCTGATTGGCCAATTCAGTTTGCTTTGGATTGATCAGCAACAACGCCTTGGTTTCAATGTTGATGTCGTTGAAAGTGACTGGGGTCAAGGTGCCAACCTTGACATCCTGGCATCAAAACTAGCAGAAGATACTGCACACACTATCAAGGCTGTTTGCATTGTTCACAATGAGACTGCAACTGGAGTTACCAACAATTTGGCTAAAGTTAGAAAAATACTCGGTATGTATATATGCCTTCGTCTATGACTCCCTCTGTATTTTAAAAGTCCTTAAATCATTATTATTGCTTGCTTGGATGTTTCTAAGGTGAAATCAAGGATCTTTTGCAACATAGGCTAGCTTAAATATGAATAGACATAAGCATCTAATCCTATACCTGCTATTGGCCTTTATGCTTGTCTGAATTCGGAACATGTGAGCTAAACCTACATAAGTTGCAAGGAGACCGACTGAGGCTCCTAGATATGGAGAAAGGTCCTTAGTGACTTGAGAGTTTTAGTTGAAACTTGAAAGTGGCAACCCACTTGTATGTTGACCTCCAAGCTTCATGTATGTTCCCCCCAAGTTTATTCATTGTGCAAAATAGTACCTCTTACAGAGCAGTTTATTCTAATGCTTCTGCAAGTCAGAGAGCAATTTATTCTAATGCTTCTGCAAGTCATCTCGGGTGATGCAGCAATCTATCTTTCTAATATTTTTCTGTTGTGTAGAAGATCTGTGAAGATCATACATTCAAAAGTTTTAGCACCATTTTCATTAAAGAAAAAGAATATGTGAGAAGTTATACAGTCTCCAAGTACCTGAAAGAAGATCACAGCTTGGATATGTGCTATAGTAGTCCTCCTCAATGTTCTTGGGCTCACAAATCATTTCATGTTTCAACACAGGATACGTTCTTCAACGGGTCAACCTATCTCTAATAGTGCTTCAATAAAATATAGGTCAACTGCATTTTTTACTTTGCTGATAGGTTGGACTCAGCATTTCTTAACATTTTCCATGTCATTTTGGATGAAAAGTTTTGAATAGCATTCATAAATTAGTAGAGCCTAAAATGGTTGAGTGAGACATGACGTTTGTGCTGGATTCTTGTAGGGTGGAAGATGAACTTATGCAGTGCAAATTGCATGGAAAATGTTCTTGTTCCTCACCCATATGACTAACATATTCAAAATGATCATTTCTATTTGTTTGGCTTGTTTTATTAGCTTTTGTGCCTGCTTTAAAAAACCACTTAAAGTTGTGTCAATGCACAACTCTTCTCCGATTCTGTTACTTTAGGATATCATAATCCATTTCTTTCAACGTGTAACTGTAATTTCGATTGAGTAAGATGGATCTCATCTTTTCAATGATCCTCAGATGACTACAGGCATCCAGCTCTCTTACTTGTTGATGGAGTGTCCTCCATTTGTGCCCTTGATTTCCGTATGGATGAATGGGGAGTTGATGTGGCTTTAACTGGCTCTCAAAAGGCTCTTTCTCTTCCTACTGGGATGGGTATCGTGTGTGCAAGCCCCAAAGCTATTGAGGCATCTAAAACTGCTAAGTCGTTTAGAGTCTTCTTTGACTGGAAGGACTATTTGAAGTTCTACAAGCTTGGAACAATTTGGCCGTACACCCCTTCCATTCAATTGTTGTATGGACTTAGAGCAGCACTGGATCTCGTTTTCGAAGAAGAGCTTGACAATGTGATTGCAAGGCATGCTCGTCTAGGAAAAGCAACAAGGTTTTTTCTTCTATGTTTTCCTTTCGATTATTTCACAAAGTTATATAAATTATTGTATTGTATGAATTATGCATAATACATAACTCTTTAAATCTTAATTGTAGGCTTGCTGTGGAGGCATGGGGCTTGAAGAACTGTACTCAGAAGGAGGAATGGTTCAGTGACACGGTGACTGCAGTAGTCGTTCCCCCATACATTGATAGTGCAGAAATTGTTAGGAGGGCATGGAAAAGATACAACTTAAGCTTAGGTTTGGGTCTTAACAAAGTAGCTGGCAAGGTTTTCAGAATAGGGCATCTTGGCAACTTGAATGAGGTAACCTTCATTTCTCATATCCTTTAACATGCGCATGTACTGATTCATTAAACATCAATCAGAAAGACCATTTTAAGAATAAATCTAAGAAGGATATTTGAGTACATGAAGACACTGCTGAGTGCTGACAGTAGCACACAAATAATGCACAAAAATAAATAATAAAATAAAAGAACTGTCCTTCAAATTGTATTAAAGAATCATGAACAATTTGCCTGTGTGGATGGATTCATTAGTCATGCATCAAGGGGGAAAAAACAATAAAATTAACAGTATGAGGTCACAATTGGTGCCTATCGACCTGGTAATTGTGACACGGAAACTGATTTGGAATGTCTAAGAACTCAGATTCTTAAGAGTCATAATGGCATCTCAATGGTCTCATGGCATTTAGAGCCAAAGTAAAGATTTAAAACCTTTTACTGTTTAAACTTTAATGCTTCTTTGGATCTCTCTTAAACTCTCGAGTCTTTTGAACTCTGATCACAATATAATGGATTAACTAGCTGTAGTTTCCAGAAAAAAATTTTCAACTACTGCAACTTTTAGTTTTCATAACTATGAAAAAGTGAGAGAGAAATCGAATCTTAATTATTAGTCATGTTAGCCTGTTAGTGTAAGACTTTCATAACTCTGCCAAATGGGTCCTGATTCCTGAATCAGACCCTCACTGTCTTCCTGTGCAGCATCATCTGTCGAAGCATTTTCAGTAATGTTTTCCCTCCTTATTGTTTCCTGTTAAAGCATTTAATGATTGAACTGCCTCATTCTTTTTCTTCTTTTCTCAGTTGCAATTGTTGGGCTGCCTTGCTGGAGTGGAGATGATACTCAAGGATGTGGGTTACCCAATAAAGTTGGGGAGTGGAGTAGCAGCTGCTTGTGCTTACCTGCAGAACAATATCCCTCTGATCCCTTCCAGGGTTTGATTCAAATATCATCAATGTAATTATTCTTTTTCTGTTAGTCCCTTCCAGAAACTCTAAAACATGAGTGTTTTCATTCCTGTTCTTGTACTATTTTGAGGCTCCCAAGCTCTCTTTATGTAGATCTTTGCTTCTTACCATATCATGTATCTGAATCATCTTCAAATCTAGTAGTTTTCTTTTCTTTGTAGGACATTTGAACATTTAATGTCTTGTCTAATAATTCATCAACAAGACAGGTACTTCTGATGCAGATAAGAATTAGATTAGCACTAGTTGGAATTCAATTGTTTCATATATGGTGGTTGTAAGAGCTGTCATTGTATATCAAACAAAGCATAGATGTTTATCTACAAACGTAGCAGTGAAACCTAGGCCATGTAATGGTAGCCATGTATGGAGTTTCGTGGATGCCGAGGAGGCTGTATCACATAGCCATAGAGTCTCGATTGAGGCTGGTCCGCAAGTTCTCAGTCTTCCCACTTCCACTCACTTTGGGAATGGTCTGTGATTCCCGTATTGCAATAACTCTCAACTCTCACGGCATCAGATATGCCTAGTTAACCAAAATTTTGTCTGATATTGGGATTGGTCAGAGTGCAGTTAAGGTCTGGTTTCCGGGACTTTTTCTGGTTTCCAATATGGGCTTTTGGAGTGGATGGCATTTCACTGGTGAAGGCCACTTTTTGATTGGCATGCTCTAACTTAGCCATCAATTCCTGCATTCAACAAGGATCAGGTTCAGATATCGTTGCAGGCCATTAAAAAGAAAAGAAAAAAGAAAGAAAGAAAGAAAGAAAGAAAGAGAGATAAGAAACAAGATTCAGTTAATGTTGTCAATTGTCAAATGGCTGTCTGTGGCAGGTAATTCTCCTTGGAAGCCCTATGACGTGAACCGTTTTATCTTCGCAAAATACACCAGAAAGCAGCTGCTGCTAATTGCCTCTCGTGATTAAAACTTGAAAGTCTTTAAAATTGTAGACTACACGTTCTGAATCACCCTGGAATTCAGTAATCTTGTTACAACATCAAAGTAGAAATGTAAATTTGGAATAAAACAAAAGAATATGAATTGAAAAAGTAAGGGCTTCTCTTGGATGTTAAACCTCATACCACCACCTGCCAAAAATTGCGTAAAGAACAAATGAAATATACATACGAATAGAAATCATAAATATGATTCAAGAAACTCGATAACATTGACATATCTCAATCTTAAAAAGTACAAGAAAAACTAAATATAAATTTATTACTAATATATATATTAAAAAAATTACCATAAAACACAATATATATCATCAACGCAAAAAATAAATGCTTCACAAAAAACTTCATATCAATTTAAAAAACTGTAATATAATCGTCGCACTGAAATATTTAAGAGATTATAGAAGAAAAAAGCTATAAAATTATTAAACAAAAACATTTTAAACTCGATAGCATTGACATTACTTAATCTTAAAAAGTACAAGAAAAACTAAATATAAAATTAATGCTAATATATATATATATATATATATATATATTAAAAAATTACCATAAAACACACTATATATCATCAATGTAAAAAATAAAACATCACATATTCTCCATAATAGAGGAAAAAAAAAACCAATAAAACCTAGTTCCAAAAAATGTTTCACAGAAAAATTTCAAAATCAATTTCAAAAACTATAAGATAATCTTGGCGTTGAAATATTTAAAAGATTATTGGAGAATAAAGCTATAAAATTACCAAACAAAAACATTTTAAACTCTAATAATATACGCTCTCCACGTTTCGTGCTTATAAATAAATATTAATCTAATGAAGGACAATTATATGGAAATCATAAAAAAAATAAAAAAAATTAGGTAAACTATATTTGGAAAGCGGTTTACTGGCTAGCATGACATGATTTCTGCCTATTTTCTGGTCATGGCCGGGAAGCAATGCGTCACATCTCCTTTGGACAATTAATAGCCCAAGTGTTTTCTATCCATCTAACTCCCCAAACCAAAAAATTGAAACACCAATTAAGTTATTCTTGGTCAACTCTCTTAGCCTAAGTTGTAAGAGATCGAATTAAAAAAGCAAGTCAAACCATCTTGAATTTTCTTTCCAAAAGTCAGAAAGTTTGGCTTACTCGGAATCCTGTTCAAATCATTGGTCAAAAATGGACTTCCTCTTCTCCTTTCAATCCCTCTAAATATCCTCTCATCTCCTCACCTCAATCTCCACAACATCAGAAACGTTTCTCTAATACCAACTCCATGAGTTCCATGGAGAAAGATTGCTTTGATCGCCTACCTGATGCTCTTCTCCTCGTTATCTTCAACAAAGTATGTGATGCTAGATCTCTCACTCAGTGCATCTCGGTCTCCAAGCGTTTCGCTTCTCTCGTCTTCGAAGCCGACACAGTATTTGTTTCCATCCCTCCTGCCAAACGCAACTCAGAAGCAGAAGACCCATCAAGAAGGAATCTTTTTAAGATTCTTTTTAGTAAATTCATAGCCAAACCGCTACTCCATTTTATTGCTCACAGGTCAATTACTACAGACCGAAAAATTGTTTCTTCTTGTTCACCAAAAGAAGTTTTGAAGCATTTCAAACAAGTTAAAACTATGCACATAGAGCTTCCTTCTGACAGTGACAAAACAGGATTGGAGGGAAGTGATTCATTGCTTAAATGGGAAGCCAGGTTTGGTAGCGAGCTAAAGAGTATTGTTATTATTGGCGCTACATCTTTTCAGAAAAAAATACAGCCTTTATCATCAGACAAGTTTTCTGAAAGCAATGGAGAAGTTTTAACTGATAATCAACTGAAGTTACGAGTTGTGTGGACAATTTGCTGCTTGATTGCTGCTTCAACAAGGCATTATTTGCTGAAGCAGCTGGTTTTGAAAGAACATCACGTACTAGAAAATATCATAGCAAGTGACGTATGCAAGCAGGGGAGGGTTTTTATGGGAAAAGATGAGATTGATGAGATGAGAAGTTCAGTGAAATCAATGGCGACGACAGAATCATCTTCGGAGAGGAGCCGAGTGCCTGATTTGAGCATGAAGTTGTGGTATGTGCCCGTGCTAGATTTGCCAGAAACTGGGTACATAATGAGAGGAGCCACACTTGTTGTGATTAGACCGAAAGATCATGGGCAGATTGGAAGTGGAAGTGAGGGTGGTTTGTTTGGTTTCGATGGGGAAGAGTGTGAAAAGAAGGCATTTAATGAAGCTGTGAGAGAGATGGTGAAGATGAAGAAGAGCTATCGAATGACAATGGATTCCTTTTGATTTGTCAAGTTAACACAATTTAATTTTCTGTTCACCATAGCTCCATAGCATGATCTTTAACACAAAAACTATGAAAAGAAAAAGAAAATTGATACTAATTAACTATGAGTGTTTAAATAAAGAACAAAATTGTATGTATAAATTCCCTATCTTGTTAAATTGCACATATCAATTTTCCTACTACAACAATAGCAACAACCAACAGCCAAGCATCATTTGAAATTAACTGGGGAAAGGATACAATCTAATACTGCATATAGAAGTGAGAAAGTTTTAGGTTGATTCTCATCCCACCGGCTAGTTGCATCCTGCTTTCTTTATTCAGATTTGAACCTGTGATTATAAAGAATCTCAAAAGAGATACGAACGTTTTCATTATTTTTATACTATTCACACATTCACATAATATTATTTATTTGATGATATTTTTATGATTTTAAGACAATGATATTTTTGTTATTTTATTCTAACCTAAACTAGCTAGTATAGGCAAAGTTTCTTTACCGATTGATTTCCTATCTTCTTAAAAATGCATGTATCTATCAATCTGACATATATATTTTTTTTTACGCAATTTATATATGTTTGATATGTTTAAATCATACTTTTCTTAAAATTGGCCTAGTAACACGAATAAGTGTAATAATATTGAAAACATTTTTTAAAATTTAATTGTTATTCAGCTTACAATTTAATCAAATTGTGTGAATTCACTAAATTTTGTAAATATAAGATAAAATTTGACCAAATCTTTTTATAGGAACTTATTTGTGAAATTGATGTAAACATAAGGATGATTTTTGGAGTTTTTATTTGTTATTTGAACCAATAGATATAATTGTTCGTATTAAGAAGGAGGAGGAGTCGAATTTAACATCCACAATGATATGAGATTAAACGGAGCACAGCAAGAAAAAAGAGAGGAAACTAAAGTCCCATTGCTAGTTTTTCCTAATTTCAATGATGGTAAGCAATAATCCGGTCTGTATCTGAACAACAAAACTGAAAGGCCCAATGGACCATTAGTCAAGCCCGCCTATTTGTAACTGGGAAGCAGACTAGAATAACGTTAGGGTTTTAGTGTGGTAGAAATTCAGAAAATTCTTTGCTCCAACTCTACTGAAACCTTCCCAAGTAACGCGTTTATTTTTTCTTCTGCTTCAATTTTTTGTTATTTGTTTGCGAAACCCATTTCTCTTAACTCTATAAAAATTTCTTGATTTTCCATTGCTAGCTTTATTAGTTTTTGTCTGCAAACTGTTTGTTGTAGTGCTTGAGAGAGAAGCTAAAGTTCTTTCCTTGTTTCACTTTTTTGGGTTTTTCTTTCTTTCTTTCTTTGTTTTCATTCTTTTTGGGTTTACTTTTATATTAGAATTTGAGAAGGCATAGAATACAATGGATGGAAGATTAGCGAATACATGGAGATTAACAGTGAACGAGAAGAAATTCATAGAGACTGCTTTGGCTTCAAACCTTAGAGTTGATGGTCGCAATCCTCTCGAGTTTCGTAAAATTACCATCAAGTCTGGCAGGCAAGTTGCTCATTATTATTTTTTTTCCAGTTTATGTTTCACATTTCAAGCTTTCCTCTTGGTTTTACACATTTTACTGTATTGTTATGCCTTTTTTTACCATAAAAAGTTGTTGTAATTTTGGTTACAATGATGCATAGGAGCTGCAAGAGGAAAAGAATAATGGGATTTCTTTTAGGAGTTGATAATGTGTCATAATTGTTGGTGTCTTGCCATAGTTTGTCTTTATTTTTGAAGATTGGAGAGTTTTATGGTTGAGTGTTATTATATGTTGGGTTTGAGATTGATTGAATGGTGTGTTGGTTATGGTGAATTTGCAGAGAAGATGGGTCATCGGAGGTGCAGCTAGGACAGACTCATGTAATGGGTTTTGTGACAGGTCAATTAGTTCAACCTTATCAAGACCGACGGAACGAAGGGTCACTTTCGATTTTTACAGAGTTCTCTCCAATGGCTGATCCTTCATTTGAGCCAGGTCGCCCTGGGGAATCTGCAGTGGAGCTTGGCCGTATAGTAGATCGTGGTCTAAGGTGATTAGTCTCTTTGCTTGTATCCATTTAAACAGAATTTCTTATGTTTACTGGCTTGATGTTTTTCTTCGCTGTCAGTTTTAGCATGATTTATTTACCGAAGAATATTATATTTGAACAAACATAGTTTATATGTTTGTTCATAATCATATTTGAATAAGACACTAATGATGCCAAAATGTTTTGGATAAAGTAAATTGTTGTTTTCTTTTTAGCTCTTTTCTCTCCCTTAAGGGATACCATGTCAGGGCCTTATTAGCAAGTACCAGCACTGCTTATGAAACTCACTATAGTCCTTGAGAAGAATACTACTCCTTTTATAATATAGTTCAACTTTGTTTGAATATTTAAATGTCCTTTCAGGGAGAGCAGGGCTGTGGATACAGAATCACTTTGTGTTCTTGCTGGAAAGTTAGTGTGGGCCATTCGTATTGACCTTCATATCTTAGATAATGGGGGGTAAGCTATTATTTTTGTTGTTGTTTAGTTTTTTGCCATTTACGTCTTTACTTAAGCTAATTATTTTACATAGAAACTTTTCATTAAATTCTCCTATAGATGTTTTCTTTATTTCTTCTTTAACTAATGCTAAATAGTTATTTTTTGACTAATAGTTTCCTATCTGTTGTGCAAACAGAAATCTTGTTGATGCTGCCAACATTGCTGCTTTAGCCGCTCTCTTAACATTTCGAAGACCAGAATGCACTTTAGGTGGTGAAGATGGTCAAGAAGTGATAGTACATCCACCAGAGGTTGGCTCATTTAACACTTTAAAATATTTACTTGTAATGCAAGCTTGAATTTTAACCAAGGAAGCATATTCTTAATTTTGAGTTTTTATCTTTAAGAACCAATTTGGCTTGTAAAATGTACCCGGATTGGAGTTGTACTGTATCTTTCTCTGTGCTTTTTGGATAACTCTTCAAATAAAAAACCTGTTGGACAGATTTTGTTTATCATATCACACTTAAGACATTTTTAAGTTGACTATCCTACTTTGTCTAGCCATCATTCTCATTGCCTTTATACTCAACTCGGATGATTAGTGCCTTCCAACCCCATATGCATTCTATAATTCTGACTGTAGCGGTGAAAATTACTCATGTATTAGATTGATTGAATAAGTGTGTTGTGGGAGTGGAGAATGGTTTCATCATAATGTATGGGATAGAGTTTGCAAAGAATTTTTGTTTCTTTTTACGTAAGGTCATTTTATAAATTATAGAGATTAGGAATGTGCATTTATCTGCTGTGATGGTTAAAAAGCTTCGTTTCCTTCTTGGTTATTGTGCCATCCCTGGTGTTTACAGCCAATAATTGATGCTGTATAAATCATTGTGTTCCACGCAAGGTAATGTAGTAACAGGCCTTAGCAGAATCATAATCCTAGAAACTGTGGTTCATGTTGCCATGCTGGACCAAATTTATTCTCTTAAAGGTTGGAGCACAATGTCCATGCAGTTCCTAAAATAGGAAATTGAATTAGGCAATGAAGATTGAAGTGTCTTGTTTAGAATAAGGGTAAGACTGGGGAGTGCTTGCTAGAACTGTTTTCACCATCCTCATGCATTTCAGCTGTGTGTATTTACTACGTAAAATAACAATATCATTGGCTCATTAGAAGTAGTTGAAAGCTTTCATCTCTGGTGTTAAGAACAATTGTTTGCTTGGAAGTCATCCCCAGGCATTGTGTTTTAAATCAACTTTTGCCTTCAGAATAAGAGTCTAACACAACACTCTTTAATAGGGTCTCTATAAAGTCACAGAGAGACGAACACTTCAAACTTCAGAAGTGGCCATATTTCCATGATCTACATCTTGAATTCATCCACATAACAAAATGGACCAGTAACTCTGAGCAGGAGATTCAGAAGTCCTCGTTAGAAAGTCCGCACCTTACTTTGTTCTTCTCCTAGTAGATGCTGTAGGCTTTAATGTATTGTTGTGGCAATTACATGTCAGACTTTTTGATGTTTTACTAACTTTAGCCATTTGTATTGTTAAGTTGATTGTTATCCATGGCATTGTGACAGGAAAGAGAAGCTCTTCCGTTGATAGTCCACCATCTCCCTATAGCAATAACTTTTGCATTTTTCGGCAGTGAGGGCAAAATGGTGGGCAGATTTATACTATAAGTTCTTTTGTGTCCACTCCCTATGCATGTTGATGTTGAGCTCGAGAAGCTCATCTGCCAGTTCATTTAATCTGAATGAGTGCTATGTAGGTGGTTGATCCTACCTACAGTGAGGAGGCTGTTATGGGTGGAAGAATGACTGTAACAGTTAATGCAAATGGTGATATTTGTGCAATTCAGAAAGCTGGAGGGGAGGGTGTGCCACAGAGTGTTATTATGCATTGTTTGCAACTTGCTTCCTTGAGTGCTGAATCCATAACAAAGAAGATAAAGAATGCAGTGAGTTTCTTCTCTAGAAATTTTTTGAAAATTGCGGTGCCATTTCTATTTTGATTCCAAATGTTCATGCTCTTTGCAATCTATTCTATTCTATTTATTTATCATTATTGTTATTATTATTTTATATTTTGTGTCAATTTGCTGCTTCTACAAATATGTAGCCATGGGATCATGTCTTTTGCTCCAAATCGAATTTTATTGTGTGAATTGATGTAGGTTGAAGCACACAACACAGAGAGAGCACTACGCAAGATCAAGCGCCATCCTACTTCTGTTGCTGGCAATGTTAGTATAGCTGCTCATGATGTAAAAGAGCAAAATAAAACTTTTGAGCAGGTAGGAGCTAGTGAGCTGTCAAGGCATCATATGGATAGATTGAAGCTGGTATCTGAGGAAACCTGCAGCAGTAGAAGTAATGACAACGATGGTGATATCAAATCATCTGAAAGAGGTGGATCAAGTCGAGCAGAGGGCAATGCTATGAATTTTCTTGGGGGTCCATCAAACTGGTATGGAGCTAGCACTTTCCAATGTTTTTTTGAAGTGCAAACTTTCTCTGCCAAAAGAAGATTGTGCATCCATTGTTCAAATCATAATCATGAGCTTAGCATAACGAGTGTGCATTTTGTTGGAAATAGAAAAGTTTTCTGGATCATGAACGTGATTACCTGAGAAGGATCTCTTGCCCCTAAAGCAGTTTAATAACATCAGTTCCCCTGTTACATACTTTAATATTAGTTTATGGCTCCTTGTAATGGATTCAAATCTGTATGATCATGACTGCTGCAAACGAGAGAGTGAAGAGCTGTGGAACTGAATTAACCATTTCACAAACTTGTTAGTTATTAAGCTCACCTAGATTTGTCGTAATTAGAAATTCTATAATCCACTTTTTAGTTATTAAGCTCACCTAGATTTGTCGTAATTAGAAATTCTATAATCCACTTGTTAGTTATTAAGCTCACCTAGATTTGCGTAATTAGAAATTCTATAGGATTATTATAGACCTTTCTTCTCGTTTCTGTGCTTTGGAAACTCAAATCTATTTGGTTTAAGAAATTTTCAACATGATTCTTTACTTATTTTTTGCATGATTTTTTATTACTTTTAAATAGTGACTCAAATGTTCCTTTTGCTCTCCTCAGGGATCCATATCCAAAGGGTGTTGATCCTGATTCCCTGAAAGCTTCTCTAGCCTCACGCGGTACGCAACTTGTACAGTTTTATTAGAAGTATGAGAAATTACCTTGCTTTTCTTCTGCTTGTAAATGATTTTGCTGATTTTGTCCCTGCCAAGCTTCCTAGTTCACTCCATTTATAATACTGTATAAAAATATGAAGCAAAACTCTCCCCATCAAAGACAACTTAAAGCAGACTTCGAATTGTTCTTTTTTGGATGGGAGGCAACTCTTAAATAAATTTTGCCGAGCAACAAATCTTATTTTCTTCTTCGTAAAGCTACAAAATGGCTACTTGGTTCTACACGAGTAAGCTGACAAGGTGACGGCAGATCTCCTGCTATTCCATTGTTCTGTGGCTAGAAAGTTATAACCTTCTTTATTTTGAGTAGTAGCATTTTCTGTGAGTCAATAATACAATTTTAATGCCTGGGCATTTGGTTGTAGGAGAGCATAGTAGCAGTATTGTTCCTAGAACATGGTGCAACATAGATAGATTAATCGGTTGATCTTCTGGTGGCCGCAAACCCTCCACCTGTGTATAGCTGCTTTGATCATTGATTGGGTGAAATAGTGGATAATGAATACCCATATATGCAATGTGAATATGTATATTTTTTTCAAAGAGCAACCTGGGTGCACTTTTTTAAGCTTTTTTGTGTGCCAATGCAACATAGCTTATTAGTGGTGGTGAAATCTTGCGATCCAGCTTTCAAATGCATTGGAAGGTTCACATTCCAATCCTTTCTGATTCCTGCATGTGTGCAGTCTACTTGGGTGATTCTGTGATGGGTCACAGAGAGAGGATGCATCAATTGATTTGTGTCGTGTGTGAAACATGCAGGAACATCAACACAGCATATGGAACAAGAAGGAATTACGGAAAATAGTCCCAAAACTGATCCAGAGAAACCAACCAAAGATATTAAACAAGAAATTTTAGCTACAGATACCTCTGGAACTGCACTGCAAACAAATGGAGAGAAAACTTTGAAGGATACTGTGAAGCCCAAGAACAAAAGGAGAAAGAGGGCTTCTTCCAGAATGAATGCAAGTTAGATGAACTACTGAGCAGAAAAACATCTACCTTGCAGGTATGTCAGTGAAATTTTTCTGGGAACATGATCCTTTTACATATGCTTTTATTAACTTTTGGTTTCATTTCTTATGAAAAGCTCCATATTACCATTCTTTATAACACTTAGATGGACTGTTTGGAAGTAGTATTTAAAACATATCTTCCTGTATTGTACTTCCTGCTGGAAGGAGAAGGGGGTGGCAGTTGTGAGGAGATGCTAACATATAGGTATGGGAGCTGTTTGCGAACAGCTGTGGAATCAAGTCTTTCCTATAACCAACTGCTGTTGAAAAAACCTGTGTAGACAGTTGCTATCAGAGAGAGAGAGGGAAAGAATCCTGCCTTCATTCTTTTCTAATACCATCTTGATGAGTTGAATATTGGTGCTATATCATGTGTTGGTTCCTCCTGACAAATGGGGTGCATTCTGTCATTTAATGAAGTGGATTATCACCTAGGAATCTTCTTTTTCTTTAGCTTTACATTCTGACTTTATCTTTTCGGCATAAGCTCTTGCCACCTTCGTGGCACTGATTGTTGATCCTTTTCAGATGCTTGACACATGCTTCCTTCATGAAAAATTCAGCTTCATATTCATCAGTGAAAGACAAGAATGAATCAGCAGCGGCCAGGATATACTGAAGTGGAGACCAGAAAGAAACTACTCTGAAAACTGAAAACTTTGGATGATTTTTGCTTTGCTAATGGAGTAAAGCATGTTGTGATGGCTGCGTGGGTATCCTCACCAACTTTGCTTCCTCTGCTTAAGTTGCCCTTTATTCGGCCACATTTTTTAAGAGATGCTGTTTCCGTAGCAGTGGTGCTTTGCTTTGACGCCATATGCCATTTCTATCTGTGTTTTGAGGATTTCTTTTCCTTTATATATAGTTAGTGAGAGGGTATGAATTCGAATTGTTATTCATCTGTTTAGAGAAGTGTGATTTCAATCTGGTAAGTCGATCAGTTTTTGAGGGGGCTGCTAATTGGTTTGTATGGCTGTATTCAACATAGAATAGTAGGCATTTTCTTCCTTTCAAGCAACTCAAGAATAGTAAACATCTGTTCAACCAAGCCTGGTGCAAAATCTGATGTCCGTAGGATTCTGCAAGTCTCTCTGCTATATATTTACCATTTCATTTCTGTACACATTTTTCTTTTCACGTGATTGATTAATTTTTTGTCAAAATGCATGATGTCCTAAAGCCCGTTTGGGCCAGAGGTGGGGCCGGTACGTGGTTCGCATGGACGCCACGCTTAATAATGTTCATATGGACTCAACAGTCCACACGTAACAAAAGTTTTAAAACTCTTTTGCCGTGGCTGTTACGCTATATTTTATAATTTTAGGTAATATTAATGTATGAAAGGTATATACTTTATAATTTAAGTATTTTAATGTATAAAAAGCATGTAGAAAAATATTAAATAATTTTTTTCATGTAAATTATTGCTTATATAAGTTAAAATATTTCTATTTTCTTTTAATTATTTCAATACAAGTGCAATTTTCTTCCGCGTATTTAATCAAATAACTCTACTTTATATTTGGGGTTTTTTTACGATTATAAAAGCCTTACCACTCTAAAAACTGTTGGCACTACTGTTATGGCCATTTTCTAAACCAAAAACACAATAAATATTTGCTACTATTAGATTTTTTTTTTTTTTTCCTCTCAATGCCTTAGACCGGGAAAAGCTGTGCCTTGTTATAAGTGGGTGAGACTCCTGGCTGCTATATATATGCAAAATGCTTTGTTCTCCACCTCTAAACTGATAAGTGATAATAAATGACATGGCCCGTTTGGAAATGGCGTCGTCACGAATTTAATGCTGATGTTTCTCGCTATGGCATTATTGATGAGTGGAAAGAAAGCTAGAACACGTAATTGCAGTGTTTATGCTGTAGATGACAAGCAAGGTGGCCTTATCTGTTGTTTAATTTGACTACGGTCAGAAAACTTTCTTCAAGAGCCTCCATGTCCACCTCAACCTCAAATATTGATGATCCTCCTAGTACGTATGTGGATAAACTTGGCAATTGGAATATGGGCAATTATTATTAATATAAATATTTTTAAAAAGAATCCGATTAGTAAGCAAAGGATAAAGCCCTCCATTTCCTTGAAATTGCTCTCTTATTTCTTACAGATTTGCATAAATCAAATTTTAAAAATAATTTCTTATAAATACATTAGTTCCGATGATGATGGTCATCTTAAAAATACGACCAAAAAAATAATAATAAATAGTTTCCTGTATATTCATAATTGAAGGCTTGAAAAGTAATTGACAAAAAAGCAATCCATTCAGTGTAATACAAACTACAGTTAGAAATCAGACAACATCAGTAGTTGAAATGTGTTAATATTTTAGCGCTATGCACAATGACAGATTTTATCCGACTATATAGAGTTTTTTAGTTATTTATTTATTTTTTTCAATTCTCACATTAATTTGATGGATTCAGAAGTATTTAATAAAATTTTCAAGACATTGACGCTAAGGTTTGAACCTAAAAAGCCGAGTTCCTTAACCACTAAATCAATTCCTTAAAGATTAATATATAACACTTTTTTTCTTAATTAATGTGATTTATATAATCTTTTAAGATAATTTTAAAAATATTTTTGAGCTTAAGAACAAATGTTGAATATCTTGAAACTACATTCCACATATATATATATATACATATATGGTACACGTGAGACGAATGTTATCATACACTTAAGAGAATGTTGTCATTAACATGTAACCTTCAGCTAAGAAGTGTTCCATAACATCACAAGACTCGTATGTATCACTGAGCGTTCCCATTTTCCTCGGAATACCATAGCTAACTAGAGCAACCTCCAATCGCTTTCTTTTTTAGACAAATTCTACATTGTTTTACCTTTTTCTCTTTAGAAAAAAAAAATTGCGATAGGACAAAAATAGTTTAACTACAAAAACTACCACCCAAATTATTGGGGTTATAGCATTTAAATTATTTGAAATTTCAAATTATTATTTTCTAAATAAATGTTATTATTTTTCTATTATTTTTTACGTTCAAAACATTGATTGTTAATTGAATGCTTAAACGATGACATTTAAGTATTTTGATTTTAATGACACAACTACCCTCAAATTATTAATATTTTGGAAATTATGAAAATTTAAGGTCTTTATTATTAATTTGGGTTATTTAGACCTTAAATTATTATTTTTTTGAAAAATGTTATTGTATTGTTATTTTTTATGATTAAAACATCAACCGTTAAGTTGAATGCTCAAACAATGTTATTTAAGAATTTTTTTTTGCGAAAGAAGATTAATTTAATAATCATAATGGTTAATAAGAACGACATGTGATCCAATATGTCGTCCCAGGATGCTATTAAATTAGCTTAATTAATTGGACTGAACAAAGAGAAAAAAGAAGCTGCAATGGATTAAATCAAGAGTTTACAATAAAGAATAAAAAAAGGACATGAATTAGATCTGAAATGTTATTATAGAAAGGCATAAGTTTCATAAGTAATTTCAATCATCTTTGTCTAATTTAATTAATTTAATTGATTTAATAATATCTTAAGATGATATGTCGTCACATATTAGGAAGATGATTCACTAGTATTAACAATTATTTTGAAATTAAATTTCTTTTGGAAAAAATAAAAAACTAAAATGCTTAAATGACGAGGTTTAAATATATAAGTTAATGATTAATATTTTTACTGCAACAAATAAAAGAGTAAGAATAATATTTATTTAAAAAATAATAGTTGAAGGTTCAAATAATCTAAATTGGTAGCAAAAAGCTTAAATTGTCAAACTTAAATGGTTTGAGAATAATTGTTGTCATTTATTAAAAAAAATGTTTAAATGATATCATTTAAGTATTCAAGTTAACCATTAATACTTTAATCTTTAAATATAACAAAAGAAGGATAATATTTGAGAAGAAAATAATAGTTTGATTTTAAATAAATTAAATTGATAATAAAAATCTTAAATTTACGTAACTCAATAATTTGAGGAAAATTTTTGTCATTAAATCAGATAAAAAAACTAATGAAATAACATATGCAGTCCAGTCACGCACACACAAATTAGCTGTACAGAAAACAACACGATAGCATTTTTCCTGTTTAGTAGCAAACGAAAAACAGAGCAGCATATTCTATTAACAAATTGGTAACGATATGAGGAAAGCAAACGCAGTCAATGATTGATTGGCAGATGAAGAGAAGAAAACGAACTTCTTCAGCATCAACAAACACAAAGAAGAGAAAGATTCAACCCTCTAATGGGTTTCTCTGTAGACAATCTAAAAGGATTCATTTTGGCTTTGTTGTCAAGTCTATTTATTGGTGCTAGCTTCATTATTAAAAAGAAAGGCCTTAGAAGAGCTGCTGCAGCTTCTGGTGTTAGAGCTGGTAAAAATATTTCTGTTCTTTTTATTTTTTTTTGGTTTTGAAACGGGTTTTTGGTTTTGTGAATTGGGTTTGGTTTGCATTTTTGTAGGTGTTGGTGGGTTCTCATATCTCTTAGAGCCACTATGGTGGTTGGGCATGATCACAAGTAAGTTGCTTTTGGAAAATTTTGATATATTTCTTGTGTAGGAATTGCAAATTGTTATCCGCTATGTAAATGAATTGGTGTTTTCTTTTTTGTTATTTACAAGTTGGTTGCATATTGGGATTCTTTTGATTTATTTGCGAATTTTAATGATTCATATTATCTTTGAATTGAGGTTATTACATCGGTCAGCTTAACGTTAATCAGATTGAATTTTTAGTTAATTTCTTTTTTCGTTTGGTAGCTGAAGGAATTAATTGAGATTTCTTGCTCTAGTCAAATTGAGGAATGGTAGTTGGCTAGAGTACACGAATTACGATTAGTAATGACCATCTGAATATTCGCTGATTGTTTGTAGAATATCTCTTGTTGTATCGTTTCTCATATAGTGATTGTTGGAGAGGTTGCAAACTTTGTTGCATATGCATTTGCTCCAGCAGTTCTTGTTACCCCTCTTGGTGCATTGAGTATTATAGTCAGGTAAATCTCTTATTAAGTTGGTATCGCATGCTGAAATTTTTGGAATTTTTATATTAAAATTTCTTCTTAAATCCTAACCACATTTCTTGTCTTTTTTTTTTTTTCGTTCTTCTTTTTTAATGGTGTATAGTGCCGTATTGGCTCAGTTTATCTTGAATGAGAAGTTGCACCAACTAGGGATCTTGGGTTGTGTGATGTGCATTGCTGGTTCTGTTGTAATCGTGATCCATGCACCACAGGAGGTCCCTATAACTTCTGTTCAGGAAATATGGAGTATGGCAACTCAACCAGGTTAGCTTGCACCTTCATATGCATATGTCTTTCTTTTATTTAAATTGTTCCTTTTGTTGACTTACCATGTTAATATCTGTTGCAGCCTTTTTGATTTACGTGGCCTCAGTGGTTGTGTTGGTTTTCATTCTGATCTTTCATTTTGTTCCACAATGCGGGCACTCGAATGTGTTGGTGTTCACTGGCATCTGTTCATTGATGGGTTCTCTTTCGGTAAATCATCTGAACCAGCAGTGGTACTTTGATTTTTAATTATAAGACCAAATTTATGAATCTAGATACAGTTTTCTCTCATTTCTATCAGTGTTCAAAGGTAAAACAACTTAATAAATTAATAAACCATTCTGCATTGATGGGGATGGAGTTTTGTGCATTTTGTGGTTAAAAAGGTCTCCAATCTTTGAATGGTTGCGAAATTCACTTTTTAAATGATCAAAATTTTAATATGTGCAGAGTGAACTTTCCTGTGGTAAATTTTTAACCAGGTTTCTCAAGAGAAGTGATTGATAAAAATGTTATCTACGCAGTTTCTTGGCCAACATAAGGTGGAAAGAATTTCCCTGAGTGCACTGATGGTACATGTTTATGTAATGGGGCTTGGGCTAATACAATTACTTGAATATTTCTCCTGGAAGAACCCGAGTAAACCTACTTCCTGTAGTTATTTTTTTTTATAATACGTTTTGTCTCCATGTCACGTGCAGGTAATGAGTGTTAAGGCCCTTGGAACTGCTCTGAAATTAACGTTTGAAGGAAACAACCAATTACTCTACCCAGAGACATGGTTCTTTGTGTTTATTGTGGCCACATGTGTCATCACACAAATGAATTATCTAAACAAGGTTAGAAATGTGGAAATATATCTTTTTGTTTAATGAATAAGTTGTACTTATATCTCCAAAATCTTGCTCTTGCATGAATCATTTTTCCTCTTTCTTGTTTTGTTTTCCTTTTTTTCCCCCTTTGTCTTCTATGTTCCGTATTGCTTTCTGCTTGGTGTCTTTTCTCTATGTTCTGCTTTGCTTGCTTTTCTGATATTTTTCTTAAATCACTTAAGAAGGTTAAGAAGTCATGTCCGATGAATTTGACTTGCTGTTGGACATATGGCATGACCAGTGCAAATTTCTCAGTCATTGCCAGTTGCAGCAAGTTACTGTCTAGAATATTTGGCTTTCTTCCAATCTACTCTTGTATAATCTGGTGAAATACAGAGAAGCTCTGTGTTGCATGTGTAGTTTCTTTTTATGCCTTTTCCTTTCAAAGATTTAAGTTGGAATTCAAATTGATGCTATCAGCTGATGTCCATTAAAATTTATGCAAATCCCTAAACTCCCCTGTTTTAGATGCTCTAAACATGCTACCATTTTTTTTCTCTCACTATTCTATCATGATTTTTTTATCATTTTTGTGATTAGCTATGAATTGACAAAGGTGAGACTTGAACTCTAGATCTCACTCCTCTTGCTTGCAAGAGTATCATTGAACTACAAGCCCATCTATTATGTTCCCATTTTTTTTTTTTTTTTTGCTTTTTGATTCTCACTCTTTTATGTCTTTCTCCAAAGAAATCCCAATCCAGTCTATTTTAGCATAGTCTCCAAATGAAATGCACGATATTGTGGGCTAATCCTACCTCTATAACCTCCTTAACCTTTATTTTCAACCAGGATGCCATGGTAAGGTCAAAGATAGTTGAATAGTAGTCATAATTTCATTAACATTCCACAAACAGAAATGAGATGGAAGGACAACCACCCCAAATATAGATTTGACATTGTAGGATTGCTAGAAATGAGTTGTAAAGCTGAACTGTGAATTTAATATGATGATTGGCAATCTATATTAAAAACAATAAGTAATCAGGTTATAAAAAACCTTCCCAAATTAATCAAGTGTAACCCGGGATAGTTGACGGAGTAACTTTGTAGGTTGTCACTATCAGCATCCCATTAACCTAGAAAACACTTCTTAGGTAAAGTACTAGATATCGCCTTAGGCCATAGCTATTAGCACACCTTTTATTCATGGAAAATTCTCTTAGAGGTGTGGTGGTTGGGAACAAATGATACTACTGAAGCCAGAAAAGAAACAATCCAATTGCGTTTATCCCAAAACTGAAACTTTTCTGCCCTTTTTTTTTTTTACATACATCTGTGCTGCATATTTTCAGTGGTTCTTTAGATCCTAAAGATGGTTAAAATATATCTTGTATCGAATTTTTTTCTTTTTATACCTCAAAAACTGCAACCTTTGAAGTTTCAGGCGCTTGATACGTTCAATACTGCAGTCGTTTCCCCCATTTATTATGTCATGTTCACATCACTTACAATTCTAGCCAGTGTAATCATGTTCAAGGTACTGTTACTCTCTTATGGAAGCTTACTTGCCTTAATTGCATTTATGTCATTACTTTGTACATTTTTGCCTAATGCTCTTTTCATTTTAATGAATTTCACCGGAAGAACACTTATTTAACTTCAACTTGTTGAAGCATGGATTTGTAAATTGATGCAAGATAGGATAAACAAAATGTCTTGTTTGCGTTCTAACATGCAATTACTTAATAGTGCCTTTCTATCAAAACTTGCACCTTTGTGATTTTTTATGCCTCACTCACTATGGCAAGCCTAGTCATCAGGTTGAGCATGCCATCATTAGGCTTAGTTTGAGAACCACTTCGATTTCCTCCTCCAGACCTGGATTTCAAACAGTAAAATGTATCATTTCTGATCCTGATTTGAATTTATATATTGGTAAAATACATTACATCAGGATTGGGATGACCAAAGTGTGGGAAGCATTATATCAGAAATATGTGGCTTCCTTGTTGTCCTCTCAGGGACCATCCTATTACACACAACCAAAGACTTTGAAAGAAGTTCATCCTTTAGAGGTGCTTTGTTCTGACCATTTCTCTTTGATTTCCACTAAATCAGTGTAATCAATGTTGAATTACAAGTGATATTCTGTAGTATTTTTACTAATTTCATGTGGCTATGATTTTCAAATAAATCAGGTAGCTATGCAACTTTATCCCCTACGTTATCTGCCCGACTCTGCAGTGGAAATGGGGAATTTATGAAGCAGGAGGAAGAAAATCTGTCACCTGCTGAAGTAATTTGCTTACAGAGACAAGACATGCACTAGATGTGCACCTCAAAAGAATATCTCCTGCTTCATGTGTAATTTCATGCAAGGCGTAATCCGTATCTCGAGTTCTTTTGACAGCATTCCTGTGAGATGGTTTCGTTACTGCAGAATCTCTGGTTACATCCAAACGGAAAGTGAACAAGTTTACATTGAGGAGGTTGTTTTGTGGCCCTCAGAAATCCTTGGAATTCGCCTTTTCATTTTTCTTTTATTTCTGCAAAGTTATGGGAGAAATTATTCAATGCCCCTGGTGGAGTAGCACGTCTTGATTCTCGTGTGTGATCTACTAGTGAATTGTGCATGCATGTGAGATGAGGAAACTCTGAATCGAGTTGTGCATTATGGAGTGGTCGTTGATGCATGCTCTGTTGCTACTTGTACAGCGTGTTTGAGATTGCTGATGTAAAGGGTGGTTTATTCAACTTCTTTAGTTGTCAAGGCAGTGCAAAGAGAGTGATCAGAAGAGCCAGAAACCTATTTTAGTGAAGAAAGGTTTGAAGAGACTCTATGCCCTGCAATTGATTTATTGGAAACTTGAGCTCTATGGTAGTTTCTTTTGTCATTTAACCTTGTTCCGTGGGCTTCTTTCGTTGAGAACAGGCAAAATCAGGATTCTTGTAGCATGATATTTGTTCACCACTTATCTGTAGGCTTCTAGATTGATTTGTTGAATTTTTTATTTTTTATCTTTTTGAGCAAAGAGTGAGATGTGTATCCTTCACAGTTTAGCAAGACAAGAATTTGTGAAAATTAAATATTGAACTTTATTCCATAGGCCTAGTCATGGGGTTGTCGCGTGTGGTGCGCGCAAGCGTTGTTCAGAAAAACCAAAGTAAGTTCAGGAACTCTTAACAAAAATTTATAAATAAAGCAAAAGATTTATTTTTTATTTTTTGAGAGAGAGATAAAACAATAGAAGCTAGAAGTAATTTAGGTTTGAATATTGAAGATAAAATTTATGAAATTTTAATAAAATTTTCTAAATAATCAAAGGACATAAAAAATGCATCTTTAAAATTGTTTTTTTAATTAATTAAGAAACTACGTGCGAATGATATCTTTTATTATGCAATTAAAAAACCAGTATAAAGGAACAAGACTCAATTCTAAATAAGCTCAATGGGTCAAAATCTCTTTTGAATTTTAATTTATTTAAAATTATGTTTTTGAACTTCAAATTTGATTTTTAGAATTCATATAAACTTTTATTGCTTTGAGATTTTTTCAGTCCATCCGATAATTTTTAATTATCATACTCTCTTTTTTAAAAATTAATTTGTTGATATTTTGAGCTGAAATTTTGCACACTTATTGAGAAAAATTCAATCTATTTAAAAAAAAATCTCAGAATTTTCAAAATTAAAAATTATAGTTGTTTATTTTTTGAACAATAAAAATATAAAAAATCAAGAAAAATAGAAAATAATCTAGAATGATCTCAATTTTTTTGAAAAGTCTCATATAAATCTCATTGAATGATTTTCATTATGAAATTATTTATGTGATTGTCAGTTTTTGGAATAAATGACAAAAAAAAACTTAAAGATAGGTTAAATTTCAAGAAATTGAAAATTAGATCCCAAAAACCAAAAGTATTAAAATTTAAGGACTTGATTTTAAATGGTTTAATATGAAGGGATGGTTTGACCTATTTAGCTTTATATTTAGAAAGAGGAGAACAAGGTGTCATTGTTTGGAACAACGTGAAAGAAAGAGAAGAACAAAGTGCCACCGTTTTGGATCGCCATTCGTCTTCTCTTCTGCAATACACAACGCGGGCGCACAGGGCACTCGTATTCTCTATTTTTCTTCACAGCAAAGTAAATAAAACACAATAAAATAGACATAGTAGCAGTATTTACGAATCCTCTGCTGTAGAGTCTTGTAGCAATTCGTAACGTGTTATTATAGTAGGCGCAGAAGGAGTGCAGCAAAATAAAAAAAATGGAAGCAAAGTTAGGGAAGGTGGTTGAGTCCATCACCAACTTCTTCGCCGGTGCTGATCAGATCCCCTGGTGCGATCGGGACATCATCGCTGTATGTCTCTTCTTTTTTAATCGATAAACCATCCCAATATTCATCTAAATATCATTGCAATTTTGGGTTGAAAATTATTCTATAACACTTCTTATCAGCTGCTTTTATTGTATACTTTTCGGTGATTTACCGACTTAGATTTGGAAAATCTTTAATTTCATAATTTTTTGATATTGGGCTCTTTTTTTTCTTTTTAAGTATTAAAGTTTAGCTTTGGTTGCAGATAGCTATAGATTGATTATTGTTTGTGGTGACCGATCGAGGTTTATTAATTAGCAGTACTAGAATGTCTTAAAGCCTTATACTATATCATACGAAATGGAATAAAAACGTACTATTTAACTTCTGCTTATTTACCCTTTAACTGTGACTGTTTTGGTTTTTTTTTTTTTTTTTTAATTTTTAAAGGTTGATTTTCTTTCTTCAACCTCGCAAGTTTCTAGCTAAGCTAAAAAATCACAAAAGAATAGATTAAAAGGAAGGAACAAGTAATTTAACTTTGATGGTTGTTGGAATTTTCAGTGTTTTTTTATGGATCAATGCTTCATTTCGTGGCTTTATGAGGAAAAAAGCAAAAACAAAAACTACTGATGATATGTAGGATACGTAAGAAAGGTTTTACAAATACATACATTTGCGTGTTGCTAGCAATGTATGGCCAGTCATATGGAAACCTGTTCACCTCCCTGCATAGTTTTAGCATTTGGTCTGTAGGCGATTGTTTTATTGTCAAAAGTTGATACTACATCTGAGCTTTGGGTGTAGTATGGTACCTTTTTGCTGCAGGCTTTTGTAACATTCATATGACATGCCATTCTTGATTATATGCATCATTTCTTCATTCTCTTCTCTAATCCTCATTGCTGATGCATCTATAGGGGTGTGAGGAAGAGGTTATTGAAGCTGAAAAAGGTTCTTCCTCCGATGAGTTTAAGAATGAATGTATCATGCGCTTTTCATGGGCACTTGTTCACTCAAGACAACCAGAAGATGTACATCGCGGCTTAGCTATGCTTGAGTGTAAGCAAATAGATACAAAACCATCTCTCTCTTTCACACACGCGCGCACACACACAGTTTTCCTTTTGTTACTAATATTCACTTTTGTAGCTTCACTGGGCAGCACTACCAGCCCTCTGAAACAGAGAGAGAAGCTTTATCTTCTAGCTGTTGGTTATTATAGAAGTGGTGACTATTCAAGGAGTAGGGAGCTGGTGGAAGAATGTTTAAAGGTTTAGCATCCTCATTTCTTAGTTTTTTTGTTTCTTCTGAATTATTGTGAAAAGATGTTTCCTTCATTGCATGTTGTTGTTTTCTCATAATTCATGACCTCAGTCCAGTATTATGACATTGCCTTGCCATAATGCATTTCGTAGGATATGTTTCAAGTAAATTGACGTTCTACCTTGAAACTGCATGATCTTTGAGAAGCCAACCGCGTGATTAAAGGGTCATATGTTGTATGTGTTGGGAAATTGGATACCTAGATTCAAAACACACCACACCAATTTAATGGAATGAAATAAACCAGAGATAAATATATAGTGGATATGCAAGATTTAATGTGATGAGGTAAAATCCTGCCTACTCTGTTGACCCGAGAGTAACCCTTCTTTGCTATGAGAGAAAAATTAGTACAAAATTGTGATTGTAATTTTTATACTCGAAACCCAATTATAAAATCCTTTGTACACCCACTCTCTCACCTTCAAGGAACACCTCTCTACCTCTCTTTCCTTTGCTTTCTGCACACTCTTTTGTATCAAATGCCAATAATGATTTGCTATTTATACTAGTATAGGCTGTCAATAATCAATTGTCAATGCATGCATTAAATGTGGAAGCAGACAAATTGCTCTGGAATGCATGCATTGAATGTGGAAGCAGACAAATTGCTCTGGAACACTAACTTCAAGCGTTAAATGTGACATTTGACAAAATTCAAAACAAGAAAAATGTGCCTTGAATTTTGTCGAAGGTCACATTTAGTGCTTGAAGTTAGTGCCTCCATCCCACAATTTATTTGCTGCTACATTTAATGCATGTGTTAACACTTGGAGCTTGTGCGTGTGCTTGATAGGGATGACAATGATAACTGAAACCGATGGTTGACCAAAACCGAATTGAATGGTTAAGCTTCTTTGGATAAAAAATGGTTAATAACTACATGTTGGTTGTGGTTATGGTTATGTTTTTCATGATAATCGAATTGAAAGAATATTATTTGTTTATTTTATACATTTTTGTATTAAGTATTGAAATATTACAATTATGTTATTGATTATAAATAATTAATAATTCATTTCATGCATTAAAAATGCCTTTTTAATTTTTTTAACTTTTACCATGGTATTGACTATTGAGACTTGTTTTATGTTGGACATTTTTTGTGGTTTAAGAATATTTTTATGTGCAAAGCCTATATGGTTGTTGTTACTATTATATTTTTCTATCATGAATGTTCTTTTTGATATGTGATTATTCAAATTCATTAGATTTATTTATTCACTTAGTTTTCTTGGAAAATAAAACAGATGGTTTATGGTTTAACCAAATAGATAATCAAAAACTGATTGTTATGATTATGATTATACAAAATCTATAACTGATAGTTATTATTATGGTTTTGGTTATTGGTTTTAATTCAGTTATGGTTATATTTATGGTTATACCTAAAACTGTAACCATGGTCAACCATTGCCATCCCTAGTGCTGGACAATTGAATTATTGGCAGCTTATACTAATATAAATAGAAAGCCATGCTTGGCATTTGATGCGGAGAGTATGTGCAACAGGCAAAGGGAAGGGAGGTTTTCTTTAAATGAGAGAGTGGGTGTACAAGGGACTTTGTGACTGGGTTTTAGGTATAAAAATTACAATCATATTCTTGCATTAAATTTTCTCTCATAGTAAAGAAGGGTTACTCTTAGGTCCGTGGAGTATACAGGATTTCGTCAAACCATGTTAAATCTTGTGTGTCTAATCTTTATTCATCTTTGTTTTATTTCTTTCCTTTAAATTGGTTGTTCATGGTGGGGTGTGTTGAATCTCAGGCCTCAATTTCCCAACAACAGTACATTATTCTATACTAGTCTTTTTATGCTTTGTGGTTGAATCACAAGGGCATGGTCATTTTATAGATGGAGCCCGAATGGAGACAGGCACAATCCCTTAAGAAAGCAATTGAAGACCGGATCAAGAAAGGTAACAAATAATATTGGTGATATTGCTTGTATTTTTCATCTGAACTGAATTGATGAAACTGCTGAATTATTGTCCTCTTATTTTTGGTTTGTCTGTAGATGGTGTGATTGGCATAGGCATTGCTGCTACTGCTGTTGGACTAGTTGCTGGTGGGATTGCTGCAGCTTTGGCACGTAGGAATTGATGCAACCTTTGATAATCATCGATATGCAGAAGAAACACTTAATGACGTGCTTGTTGCAGAAACTAAAACAAAATGCTTGTTTAATAGATGCTTACTTTGTTCCTTCCGTTATATGAAAGAACTTGAGAGGTTTGTCTTTTTGATAACACAATTTTCTTGTATGATAGTTCACACCAATCTGTATACTTTTGGATTTATTTGAGAATTTCTCCCTCATTCTTCATTTTTATGGTTGTCTCAGGCCATCAATCCTCCTCTTTTCGAGAGACATGGATCATGGTAGATACTGTCTTTCATATTGAAGTGTTCATAAGTTGCATTAATTTCTTCTGCATCCTGTTCAACAGTAGCTACTGGAGGTCATTTTGCCAGGGCAATATCAGTTCTATCTGCCCTGAAAATGGAGCAGCAAGCTATAACCTAGTTCAAAAGAAGCGTGAATGTGACTAGTTGCTGTAGGAGATGCCATGCATTTGTGCTGGTGATATGTAATGATACTCCCCTTACCAAGCTAAGGGCAGTTTTTCGTGTCTTCTTGAGTCCTTAAATACACCAATTTGTGCACAGTCAAAACCTCGCAAGCAGAGTTCCCAGTAGATTACCAAAAATTAATTACTAAGAGAATAAAAATAGAAAACTGAAATTTCCCGGTGACTTTTAAGCTGTCGGCAGAGTCTCCCAATTAGTACCAACTGTTTATTGCTTTATCAATTCAATAATGTTAGTATTTTTCTCTCCTCCTTTTGGTTTTATGGCGCCGGCAATATTTCTGAACACTGAAACCAAATTCACCTTGCTAATCCGGTCAAAGACAGTTCACCTTTCTAGTCTGGTAAAAAATAGAGCATTCGCAATGACACTAAAGGATTCATGAGAATTCTACCTCTCATGTTAGATTTAAGAGTTGAACCCTGGTGGTTAAAGATAATCATATCCAATTTAACCATCTACCATGCGAAACCTCACATGAAGAATGCTACTCTAGGAAAGAGGGCGTTTATGAGACCAGTCAGTGACTGACAGGGCAGGAGTTCTTTGGATTAACCCTTCGATGAGTTCTATGTCCACAGGAAATAGATACATGAAACCATTGACGGGAGAATCTGTGGACCTGTAACAATAATAGGAATTATAGTCATTTTTTACTTTTGTGGCATTATCTATTTTTAACACTTACCACTTCAGAAGCCAGAAAATGGCACGAGCCATTACGAAAAATTCAGATTTGCGTTGTCATCACCACTGCCCAGAACTGTCTATATCCGGTATTATCTCCTACTCAATTTCATTCTTAGAATTTTGTATTTTATCAACACGTCATAAAGCGTTATGAGCTCGAAACTACGTAGGATTGAAGGGGATTCTTGGCTTTTTGAACCAAGTATTTTCTTACAAATAGTGTTCTCTTGTCAACAATTGTTTCAGCTTTCAGACAGAGACAAATCATGAGGTTTGGCATTTGGCTCTTTGTTCGCGTGTTCTTTGCCTTAATGGTGATGATGAGCATTTCTCCAAATGCCTTTCGACTCTCAGGTAATTCAATACAAACAACTGCCCTTTGAATCGTTGGAGATGAACGAGAATACATATATACATATAGCTATGTCTAGTTAAAGATTGAAATGTGGTTTTGCAGGTGGGAATGAATATAAGTTGGCTATGGCTAGAAGGTTAGTGAAGGTGGAAATCAATGATTATCATGAGCCAGAGGCAAGCGTTAAGCATCGTCCTGCACCACCTGGTGATGAGGTTGGTGATAAACTTCAAGATCATCAAGAAACAAGTTAAAGCTACAAGCATGTCCCTCCTCAGTCCACTAATGAGGATGGTTTAATGTGAAAAATACTGAAATAATATTGATGAAAGCCTATATGATCTCAATTTATGATGCTTTTTCGTTTTCTGCTCGGCTTTGGTTGTGTTAAATTAAGTTGCTTTTTTTTTTTTTTTTTCCTTTTCCTTTGTAATGGAGCTAATGGCTGGATATCAAATATTCTGAATAAAACTCTTTTTTTTTTTTTTTTTTGAGGAGTTTTTGTATTTCCAAATTGGGGGAAAAAAAAAAGGCTGATTCATTGCATAATGCCTTTGCCAACTAAAATCCTGTTTGACCATGAACCCCCCAGTCACACTGCATTTCTGGAGTACCGCGATTAATTTTATTATTGGAGGCCAGCAGTATTTTGTTGGAAATCCTATATTATTTCTCCATTAGTTTTCTCGGAACTTACTATGTGCGCATAGTTGCGTATTTTGCCCCTTGCCCTCCAATAAAAGAAGTGTGATCAGATATCACATCTTTTAAAATAGGTAATACTTTATTTTTGTGACGAACTTTTGATTATTTATTTATTTGGTATCCAACCGTTGAGTTTTAATGATTTGTTATTCAAGCTTTATTTTTTATTTTTTTCAATGCTTATATTCACCTGATGTTTAATTTTGCTAACGTATCCGACAAGAGTTGCAAAAATATCATGTAATAGTCAACTCTAAATATGTCGGTCCTTACTCTTAGGTAATTATGAACACTTAAATAGAAAAAAAAAAAAAGTTAGGCATTGAAACAAGAAAAAAAAAGTTAAAAATTGGACATCAAAAATACAATTTTATCAAGAAATTTATTTTCTTGAGGTTGCAAAACTAGTCTAACAATTTTCGCTTAGTTCCATTACCAACAAATTTTTTTTACCTCATGCTCATAGCATTTTCTATTTATCAAAGACAATTTTTTGGTGCTATGTATCGATTAAAAATATTTTTAAAAAATTCTATACCCTTTTGGTTGTCAAAAAGAAAATTAACATGATGTCATTTAGTCTAAATATATCTAAAATCCAATTAAGATTAAATTCAAGAACAAAAGACATATAAAGTTCAACTACGATTGCCATTTGTGGAAGCAAATGGTTCACAAATGGAGAAATTTACAAAGAACAAAAAATGTTTCTTTTGTCTAGAAAGAAGATCGACCAACATATCATTGGTGATATATGCTTTTTGTGGCAAATAACTTACTAAACTTTTTATAATAGGTTGAAATGGGATATAATCGACATGACTAAGTTTAGTAATTAAGCTTTTTGATTTAAGCGTTGAAGGTGCAATACTTTTCATAGCGGTGACGATAAAGATAAAAGTAATAAGTAAAATCAGCATTAAGATAAAAAGTAAATGCCTTGTTAAAATTGCTTATGCAATTAGCATAATAAGAAGAAAATATGCACACATGTAATTGTTGATATTCTTGAAATTTAAAATTATATAACTTTCAATATTTAAAAAGAAATTATATATAATAGAAGCACAAGATATGCTTGAAATCTATTTATAATAAATAAGGGATAGATCAGAATACAAGAAGACGAGAGGCATTTAATGTGCAAAAACTGAAATAAATTTTTTAATAAAACTACATTTTCAGTTCCTAACTATTGTTTTTTTTTTCCTGGCATTTTTTGTGCCTAATTTTTAATTTTTTGTTTCAATGCTTAATTTTTTTTTTCCTTATTTGAGTGCTCCCGACTACCTAGAAGTTTGAAGTGCTGACATATCTAGAGTTGACTGCCACATGACATTTTTAATAATAGAGAGATATCTCAAGAAATTCATAAAGATAGAAGGGCCAAAATCAAACTAGACCAATGCCAAGTAAAATCCACAAGAGCAAGACTACTCCCAAATTAACATGATTTTGGGTGGACCGTTAATTAATCAAAACAAAGTTTGATAAAAAGAAGAGGGGAGCTCTCCTGGTCCTTGCCATCACAAGAAATCCCACATCGTAGCTCAAGTCTATTGCCCTTACTTGTGTAGATGTAGAGGGAATAACTTTTTTTCTCTCTCTCACAATGATGTCTTGTTAATTTCAGTGATGGCCTTCAACTACAAAGTCCATCTTATTTTGATAGACTCCAATAACGTCATCAACATTCTATCAAATGAAGATTTTGATTTAATGAAGATGGATCCCTCAAAACTCCAACCGAATAAAATTCTTTTGAAAGGGATAAAAAGAGAACAAGTTCGATAGAGAAAGCATTCAAATCATTAAAGTGTCGTTTGATTAGCGGGAATGAAAGATTCGGAATGAGAATTAAAGAATCGAAATAAAAATTAAAAAATTGAAATGATATTTGTATTATCATACCGTGTTTGAAATACTAATGAGAAATCAAAATGTAATTTAAATTTTTTAATATCTGATTTTTTTATATAAATAAAAATAATGATTAAAAAATAATTTTATCAAACTATAATGGTTGTAAAAATAATAAAGGTGATGATAATAGTGGCAGCAGTAATTCTAATAGTGGTGGTAGTGAAAGTGGTTGTGATGGTGGTGGTGGTACAAATATCTAATAGATAATAAATAAATAAATAAAATATATTATTATTTTAGAAAAAAATTCGTTTCCATTTCTTGTTTTTATTCTCACATCTTAAATAAAAATAAAGTTGTATATAATTTTGATTCTCATTCTCATTTTTCATTGCCATTCTCATTTGATTCCCGATTATCAAACAACTGCAACATGAGAATAAAATTTTTATTTTCATTCATATCACTCTATTTCGATTATCAAACGAGCACCTAAAGATATTCTTAGAAAATAATATAACTATTTCACCATAAACGTTATAGCGTACAAGCTTTATTTGCAATTCTTATAGATTCATTAATACATAAAACTTTAAAGTAACAATTCATCTCAAAATATACTAAAATTCATAATTGTCTAACTTATTTAAGAAAATGAAGTTAGCCTAGTTTTTTTTTTTAAAGGAATATTTGGCAACCAGTTGCATATGGATCAATCAAAAAAGATTTAACGTGTGCGTAATTTATTTACATGTGGACCAATAAAAAGAATAATCTTAATTTTTCACCATAAACATTATCGCTTGTAAGAATTATTTGCAATTCTTATAGTTTTGTTGCTGCCTAAAATTTTAACGAAACAATTCATCTCAAAATATACCAAAACCATCTTTATTGTTACTATTTGTAACTTCCAAATATGCAATTAATATTCATTAAATATGTGTGTATATATAAAACCTCAATATCCATACAAAGATTTATAGTCTAATTGGATACTTTTTGATATTTTATAGTAATAAAATTTGATTTAATAAAAAGGGTATAGTCTAATTGGATACTTTTTGATATTTTATAGTAATAAAATTTGATTTAATAAAAAGGGTTTCAATTAACACTTTTTGCTGTACGATTCAAATTTTAATTTTTAATATTCAATGTAATCAATAATTTAACAAACATTTTAATAATACAATGCATAAAGTTTATGGATAAATTAACAATTAATCATAATAATTAATACTATTAATCCTTTTATATATAAAATATTTTATTTTAATTCCTATCCAAATGTATACACATTTATTTAGGGATTTTTTATTGCTTTTTTCATCCTCTTCAGTTTATTGTGTAATAATTAATTTTATTTTAAAGATAATAAATGTTGAAGACAAATAAATTCATTGAAAAAAATACCTATAGATAGAGAAAAATTTACTTAGCTGAAAATTGCTGCATTGTCTATTTCTCTCATCTAATTAATTAATACTGAAACTTGGCTCATCTAATTAATACTGAAATTTGGATTATGATTCGTTATGTTCCTAGAACATGAGAAAACACAAGTAATTTAATTCTTTTCAAATTAACTAACATGAAAAATATATTCTCTCTATCCCAAAAGTATTGTTTATATTTTTGTTTATATTTGTCTCAACATACTTGTGAGATCAAAATTTTAAATGGTATAATTTCTTAAAATATTCTTAATTAAAGTTTATTTTATAAAAAAAATTCAAATAAAATTTTAAAAATGTTATGAAATAATAAATGTCCATCATCATGCTCATTCATTTTTCATATCCCCACTACTCATGATTCTTAATATGATTCAATTCATCATTCAATATGAGAAATTGAAAGGGTGATGCAATTGATTATTCATAGTCCCTTTCAATTCTTTCTTCAATTTTGAAGCTCATAAATAGGCTTGATTGTTCATTAGTTTGTGTACAAGTTTTCTAGAGAGAATAAGAAAAACTTTAAAGTTCTTATCACTTATATTTACATTATAGTGATTTCATTTTCTTGTCATCCTTTTCTTCAATTCTCCTATTATTTCTATTTATTTTATAACACGTTATCAGCACGAAGCTCTAACGAATCG